GAGAGTCTGGCCTGGAGACAGGGTCCCGCCACTACCGCCCAGTGGCTCCCACCCTCCTGGACTCCAGCCAGGAGTGCACAATCCTTGTCTTAAATAGGATTCAGCAGAGGATGGGACAACCGGCGTCTGTTGTATAAGCCCAAGGGGCTGGGGACTGGGAGCCTCGACTGGCCACTGCACTTATTTGTGGAGTTAACTAACATTATGTGTTCTAACTCTGGGAGGAAAGAACATTTCAGCCACCGGGCTCCCATGGTTCCAAGAGGCTGCTGAATGATGTTTCTCTAGCATCACTGCTTGGTACCCCCACCCCGCCTGGCCCTCCTTCTCAGGGAGCAGCCAGCCTGTGTGTGCGAAGGCATCTGTCCTAGCGGTGCACTGCTTCTCCTTCTGAATGGTGTGACTGGAAGTGATCCCCAAGCACCCCGCCACTCTTGTGCTTATTTTGGCCCAGGCAAATCCAGCCAGCTGTGGGTCCCATCAGGCAGAGGCTGGCTCGCTGGCCGGCATGCTCAGGGTCTGCTGTGTACTTCAGCAGCTACCACAGGCGCAGAGAAATCGCCTGCGCTGTGTCTGCAGAGGCAGACCCAGGAGTGGCCCCGCCCACTTCCAGGCACAGGCTGCTCGTCAGTCCGCCTGGTTTTCCTGGAGGGAACTGCTGCATAGACTTTTCATGAGCAAGTCCTTCCAGGTGGTTTCTGTTTTGAGCCAGGTTTTCAGCTGGGAGCTTTTTTGGGAGTCTGTGCAGATGAACAAAATCAACACTGGTCAAAGTCTAGATCTATGAGGAGGGGATAATTAATTAAATTATGATAAATACATCTGATGGATACTAGATCTTTTTATTAAGAAAGTACTTCTGTGATAAATGCAGAAAAGCAGGACACAAACTGAATATATGTTATGATCACAAGTATGTTACAAAACAGAAAGAAAAAGATGGGAAGGAAAAACACCAAAATACTAACATTGGTTTTCTTGAAGAAATGGGAATTCCAGTGATCTCTTTTGATCTCTCCTATATTTCCGTATATTTTCTGCAGTGGATGTGTATTAACTTTTATCATTAGAAAATGTATTTTAAAATTTAAGTCCTAGTTCAAAAACTAAACGTGTCAGAGAAAGGGGGCACACAGACTCCTCAGACTTACAGGACAGCTCCATGGAATGCCATCCAGGTCCCCAGTGCTTCTGCTGCCAACACTCCACTGATACGCATGTTGAGACTGAGGAAGTTTCTTCCTGCTTCTGTGCCCCCTTCTCCCCATGTTTTCCTCATTGTCAGGCCATGTACGTCTCTGCTGAATTGAGTTGGAGGCACGTGCGTTCTGTATTTTTCTAAGAGTAGGGCCAGGCTTTTCCTGAGCAGTCGGGCAGCGCCAGAGAGGTGCCCTGTGGGGAGCTTACCAGGACCTGCCAAGCACACCTCCTTGGCCACCGTCACGGCACACGTTCCAAGGCGCCAGGCTGGAGGCGCCGTGCCTGTCCTAGCAGTGATAAGTATTTGTGGTTTGTTTTGATTCAGATTGGGGAAGACTTTGAGCCCTGCTGAGACTCAGCATCTCTCTTTTATTTGCTTTGCTGTTCGTGCTAATTATGGAAGAGCTCTGTTTTTCCAGGAGGAATGGCTCCTGGTTGGCCCAATCTCAGCCACCAAGGTAACAGGGAATGTTCAGTGTTCAGTCATGACTGTGGGCTGGATGGAGGTGGCACCGGCAGGAGACCAACAGAGGAAACCCTCCTCCCTGCCCCCAGTTCTGGCTTTCGCTAGAAGACAAGAGGAATGAGGAAAACAGCTACCCTAGGAAATGCCTTCCTTGAAAATGGTTTCCGTTTTCTCGGGTTTGATGAGTGTGGGGATTTGTTGTTGTCATTTTTTAAGTAGAAAAATATACCGACCATTAGCGTTCATTATCCTCGTCTGATTTGGGTCCGGCTCTACCCGGAGATGAATGTGGTAGGCCAGGAGGCCCCTGTGGATTCTAATTTATGTTTTCAGTTGTTTGCCATTTTGTATCTTCATTATGGGGCTACTTTCCTGCCTCCCTAAAGTCATCTTTCCCAGCAGGCTGTTTCTGGACTTTATTTAGTACTGTGGTTACCTCCTGCAGGCTGTGTGGCCCCATCCTTCACCAAAATGTCACCTCAATTCATTCAGTGGCCATGAGACAGATCCATCACTGGCCCTCCGATTCCCATCAGCAGGCGCCCATGAGTGATGGGCATCTCCACGCCTCCCGCGGCCCCCCTCCCGTGTGGAGTCAGCTGGGCAGGACTCACCATCCGTCTGGGCACGGGGGCACCTGGCTGGCCCGAATCCTCTCATACCCTATGCTGAGGGAGACGTCAGCCTCAGGAGGAGACCCCAGGCGCGTTCATTCCACCTAGCTGGCCTTGTTCCCCAGCCCTGCTCTCAGGGATGCCTCAGGAGAGCCAAGGCCCTGGCAGGGCAGCCAGGCGCCCTTTCCCTTCGGACCAGGCCCAGGCAGCGGGGTCTTAATTGAATCTGCTCATTCCCGCCCTAGCACCACACAGCACAGCAGTGCAAATGGAGCTGGCAGAAGAGCTGACTTCTCATTTATCTTTCCTCTCCCTTCTCTGGCCCGTAGGTGTTTGAGGAAATGTGGAAGAGGGAAGGCAAGACTCCAGGGCAGATTGTTTCAGAAAAGCAGCTTGAACTGATGGAGGACCGGGGGGCACTGGAGCAGCTCTGCCACTCCATGATGGAGGCCCATCCTCAAGTGGTGACTATCTCAGGCGGGGGAGAGGGTCAGAGCCACCTGCAGAGCCAGCCCCAGGACACACCCAAGAGCCTCGCCATCTCTCTCTCTGGCAGCCCAGAGGCTCTTCCTAAGAATGACTGGCCCAGTTTCATGTACAGTTCCCTCATTGTCATCTTTTTAGTTAAGGTCAGAAGAGATGAAATAGGTAGATATTGGAAAAACACAACTTCTTTTCCTATAAGGAGGATACCACCCCTGGAGGTTACTCTCCATGGAGGTGTAATTTAAAAGGGTGTCAGCAAGCTCACGAAATCCAAGCTGTGACCTCCTAGGCGTGTCGCCCTCTCCCAGGGTTGGCATTTCGAATCTGGTGTGGTTAGCGCTACTTGCTAGGGACCTCCCAGTAAGGAACCAGCAGGTGTGCCTGCAGATCAAGGAGAGTACAGGAACTTCGGCTTCATGCTTCTAAGAAGTGGGAAGAAAGGCAGAAGGGAAAAGTATTTATAAATTGTGGAGAAAATCCCTGACAGGAGCATGGCTGAAAACCAGGTCATTTTGTGTTCTTAGCACAGCACAAGACAGAAAAGCTAAAACAAGTGGCATCCCTTCCTCCCCAAGTCTTATCATATTGTCTAGAGATACTTTTCAGTGGGGAAAAAAATTGTGAGCCACTTCCTCAGAATGATACCCACCCACCCATCAGCTTCCCGGGGACACTTACAGCTCTGTAGAGAGCCCTCGATAAGGAAAGTGAGCCTGCACCCGGCCTCAGCAGTCTCGTCTTCCTGCCTCATCTGTGGTGACTGATAAAGACGTGCTAGTAGTTTCAGGCTTGTTCTGCGGCACTTGAGTGCAGATCCTCATGTCATTGCCCTTGGAGATGCTGCAGAGCAGGAGGTCGTGCAGTGGCCCTAACAGTCAGTGGCTATTTGATAAGAATTCAGTGCCTACGGGCTTCCTCACTCCCCCCACCCACACAGCACACTCCCCCGACCCAGTGCTCCGGAAGACTTAGCCAGTGTGTAGATCTGCTTTCTGATAAAGGGATCTTCGTGGTGGGGAGCACAGGGAGAAGGAAAGCCGCACATTTCAGCTGAACGTCACTGAGAATCAGGTCGCCTCACTGATTAGACGCAGTGATTCATCTCAGAGACATTATCCCTCCCCAGACTCAGTGTCCTCGGTCATTGTGGCATCCCAGAGGAGAGGGCCCTGCCTCCCACGTGCCAGCTTCTCTGGCTTTCAGCAATCACTTCTTGCTCATTTTAATCAGAAAACAGAGTAGCAAAAATCTCCTTTGACAGGAGCCTAGAAACCTACACAGAAGTTAGCCCCCTCCCCTTTTTCTGTTCTTCATTTTATATCTAATACTAGTGGAAATAAGCGGAATTTAATTTTCAGTAAACTTAAGCCTTAGTTTGGGATTTGGGGGCATGAGTCTCTTCATTTTTTCCTCTTAAGTAATTTCTGTCTTTCTAGGTAATGGATTTGAAGGAGGGAAACCCCAGAGCTATAAATAAACTGATTGGGTTGGTCCGGAAAGCGACCCAAAACCGAGCAGATCCAGCCATGATAAAGGAGATCCTGGAGAAGAAGCTGTCTTCGTGAGATGTTTGGGGTCCCCATGCCCAAGGGAGAACAGTGCAGCCGGACTGGGAGCAGGATCCTGTGAAAGCTGACGCCCATGTGCCCTGAGAGCTGCCTCTCAGTCCCTGTCCCGAGCCACAGCTGTGGCGTTATATGTCACCAGTGTTCTCGTCCTCTGGGCCCTGTGCCTGGAGGTGCCTCCACAGCCAACCAGCAGCCACCCCCGCCTGCTTCATCCACATTAGGAGGGTCCAGTGATGGCTGTAGCAGTGGTTAAGGAGTAACACCTTCTTGTATTAAGGAATTTTAAACTAAATAAAATGTTATGTTAGAGATACTGTTACCCATTCTAAGAAAACTTTTCATTCTGCAGTTCCTTCAACAAATATTTTTGAGCAACTCCTAAGGGCCAGCCATTGTTGTAGGTGATGGGCATTAGCAGTGGTCAAGAGAGACTGTAATTTGGATATACTGTTTTCAGACCTAAACACAGGTTAACAAAGATGAAAACACAACCAAATAAACTGGCACAGTATAAACATACATTAGTGTAAGGAGGTCTCAAGAGGGTGGGAAAGGAGGATATTATTAGAATTAATCAACCTATTGATGGAGTAGAAGTGATACTGCCTGTTCAACTCCCTACCCATCCCAGAGGCGCAGGTCTGAGAATAAATGAATTTTAAAAAGTAAATTTTCAAATACATTTAATCAATAAAATATATACTGAAATATCACATAAAAATTAACTTACACGTCAAAGATTGTGCAGTTGACAACTCCCCCCAACTCCCCCAACCCTCAGGCCAAACAAGATAAAAAGAAACAAGAAAAAAGTTGTAACATGAAATTGACTTGTTTTGCTTGGAAATAAGATTATAAATTATCACCATCTTGACCTTTCACGATAATGGTGGTGCGCTGCAGGCATGACGAAGGCGGGGCTGTCTGCACCCCTGTGCTTGTGACACTAATACTGTTCTCTCCACGGCACCGAGCACACCTTCGTTCGGCATATGCCTTTGTTACCTCTGACTCACGTCGCTTAAAGACCAGTTTTGCAAATGGTTTTTAAAAGCATACTTGTCAAAACTGTGATGTAAGAGAAGAAAATCCTTGGAGGCCTTGATTTGAAGCTGTGAACCTGTAGCCTACCAAGGACAATACAAATATTCCCGTTGTGAACGCTGCTCCAGAAGCAGCTGAGGAACTAGAAAAAAGTGGACACCCCTCCATCACCAATTCCGCGACTCATGCTTCCTGGCTTGTACAGTTGCTCAGGACTTCCCTGAGAATGATGAGAACGGTGCCCCTCTTCCCCAGCCCAAAAGGTAGGCAGAGAAAGGTAACCAGTTGTGTGGTTCATTTTGGACAGGCATGAGGAGGTGACTTGTTTAAAAAAAAAAAATATTTTAAAAGAATTAGTGACAGAATTTTAAGAGACTATGTGACCTCACCCTGGAAGCCAGGTGCCCCGCATCCTGTTGCGGTCCAGAAAATTACTGGGTCTAAAGTAACATGATTTTCACTACACCTCTCTACAAGAGAGTAAGGCTGAATCAGTTCTCTCCTCGCTCTGCAAGTCTCTGAATTACAAATGGGCAAAGGTGGTCTGAGACTAGAGTCTGACAGGATCTTTATTTTGTAAGAAAGGATAAGGTTCAGTTTCGTTTTATAAATTCCATTTTCACCAAAAGTTCCGGCTTCTTGGTGACTAAACCTTACAGAAAGCATCGAAGATCTTTCCAGACCATTTAAAATTAAGGGCTTACTTAAAAGAGGGTGCAGCCAGATAAAGACACTTCAGCGAAACTCTTATGTCAAGTGAAAACCGCAAAGAGGAAGATGCCGTTGTTAAAGCCCTTGATTTGCCCAGGCTGCTTCTCATTCAGCTCTGACAATTGCCTGTTGTCTTGAATGCCAGCTTCTGAAATCCTGAAAGCCAAACCTTGTAAGTTGGTATCACTGCAACTAGGAAAAAACCAGAGCATGGCTCTGACTGAAACCCGATGAGATATTCTGAAGATATATTTACATTAACACCCCAAGAAATTCGCTAAGATGGCTCTGCGTGTAAAGGGGCCTCTGAAATATGATTTTATATTCTTGCATGAGTGTGCATTTAGTCTGGTCTCCTGGTTCACTCTTCAGGGAGAAATCTCATTAAAATGTATGAATTGGCGCCACAGGTGATGCCATTGCCATCTGGCTCAGGAATCCACACACCTGTAGGCTGGGTGTGTCATGCGGAGGCTCTGACTAGAAGTTGGAGTGTGCTGGAAAACTGGCTCTGCCCCAGGCTGGCTTGAACCAGCTCTGCCTGATCAGGCCCAAACCCCGTGTTCTGTTGCCTGGGGAGGAGGTTGGAGGGTTCTGGTGGGAAGGCAGGAATGTGTCAGCCCTAGCACTCTGCATGCTGTCTAACAGAGGAAATATTCAGTAAAAGCTCGCTTACTGTATGAAGCAAATTAATGGACAAGCTTTTGTGGGGCCCTTTTGAAGAGACTGGTGATACCAACTACTAGGCTTCTACATTCTGGGTCTAGAAAAGAGTTGTTTAATCTCTGTCCAGGGTTACACATCAAAGTGAACTTCTGTTCCTGTCTTTCAAGGTGTAGGCCCAGGCCTAGGAAAAAGAACCTAGATCATTATTGCACCAAGATAAGGATATTTTAGCTGAGCTCCCCCACCCCACTAACATTTTAGTAATTATTGCTAAAATAATTACTAAGAAGGCCTCGAAGTTTCGGAAAGTACACCCCCTCCTTCAGCTTTTGAGTTGGATAGTTCAGGAGAGCTTACGGCCATGCCCCGCTATTTCATATTGTGTCTTTCATTTCCATTGAATTTAGTTGCATAGTTTCTACATAGTAACTATTGGGGAAAAGCCACCACATCTATCTGAAAGGCTGTGTTCTTTACCCATTACCAAAAGCAGCATGGAAGTGGCTGCCGTGCCTCTTCAGCAGGTTTTAGACAAACATATTCATGGATTATTTGCAAACAGAGCTGACCCCTGCCTGTGAGGTGGGAAGCATCTGATTGAAACCTTTAGTCAAATAGCTTAGCAAGAGTTGTGTAAGTAAGACTGTCAACACCAAATTCCCTCTTTCAAAATATCCACAGGGCAAAAAGGGGCCTTGTTACAGGTGGGCCTTTCATAGACTTGTCCCAGTAAAAAGTCAGCTGACACACTAAGAAGCACAGACTTCTGCAGCCTCCGCTCCACGAAATTTAATCTGGCCTAAGAGCTTCCATCATCTTTGTTGTGTTCTGAAATGATACAGTAAATGTAAACTCCCCGAAAGATGCCTGAGTGCATGTTGAAGTCATGCTGACAGGTCCTACTGGCCGTCTTGTTACTTGTGTAGGTAATAGTGAACTAGGTTAACTTAAACCTTTTAAGACAGGAACAAAATTCACAGTGACCCTACAAGCTAGGAAAGGTCAGTCCTAGCTAAAATCTTGATCGATTTTAGGATTCTAGGTGCAAGAGGTCAAAGAACTGAAGGCTTCCACCCATCCTGTCCTGCTCCTTTTCCCTAAAGAACCTCTGAAAATCTTTCACTAAAGTCCTGTTTATCCAGTTAATGAGCTGCCAGAATAATCTGTAGTCCCAAAACAAGTAATGGCCTAATAAGTGCCTGAACATAGAGAGGATTTACTGAGGCAAAATTATCCTAAAAACCATTCTCAGTCTTCTGAGAGCTCTTTCTAAAGCATTAGGTTTACGATGGTCATTCAAAAAGAAGGGGAGGGGAAAGAGTCAACTTCATTCTCTTACAATGTTTCCTCAACGATGTGATTTAAGGGTAGAACATGAACTGGTTTGACTGTGTTCTGTTTTAAGCAGTGACTTGATGGAGAATTAGTGTTGGGTGATTTATAGAATGATGGCTGAAGCAACAAGGGGCCTAGAATATCTTCTTAATGACCTAAAGCTGATGTGGCATCAGCTACAAGAGACTGCTGTTTCCAGGAAGAGCTCACACTACAAAACAGGCTGCCGTTTGCAGCAAACCACACATGACACCAGCCTGAGCCAGTGTCTTGAAGTAGCACATGCAGTAATAGCTGACCTGCAGTAAAGTGTTTCATAAAAATGGCAAGCATGACAGACAGCCATTTCAGTAAATACAGGGCTGGTAATCAGCAATTACATTGAACTGCCCTTAAATGAGAACTGGGGCATATGCAGATACTGAACACCACACCGGGACATTTAAAATGAAGGGCTTACTTAAAAAGGGGTGCAGCCAGATAAAGATAGTTCACCAGAACTATGATGTCAAGTGACCGTCTTAAGGGCTGATTATTCCCAGAGGACGATGCCGTTGTTAAAGCCCTGGATTTGTCCAGGCTGCTGCGGCTGTGCTTCCCTCCTGAAGACAACCTAGACACGCTGATCCAGATTCAGAAGAGCAGCCCATCCACAACCCTAAACCTCCACCAGACCTGGGAATCGGTCCACATGACGGGACAGCCCAGCTGATTCAGAGACACTGGAAACAACTTTCAACCCGGAGTACCCACTGTCTGCCCACATTAAACAGGCAACCTCAATATTCATGGAGCCTGTTTCTAGATTCTGTTCATAAGAGGATGCTTTCCTGACAAGACCCTGGCTCCATGATGTTTTATCCTGGACAGAAATCAACTATATCTGACCTAAATAAAAGCTACCTGCTAAGGAAAGGGTACTCCTGATGACCTAGAAAAATACTGAATGCATCCTAACACCTGACAGACATCCACTCCAACCCAAGCACATCAAAGTATTTTCCAAAATAATACTCAACAAAATGGGGACGACTTCACAATTCCTCTAAATACCAGGGAAAGGAGGTATTTAATAGTAAAGAAAAATCACGTCTCTAACTGGCTATTCCAGCACTCCCATTTCATGGTTGGGAAATTGTATTTTACCAGCCATGAAATTATGTTTTAGGGTGAATCTAACCTGGAATTGCTTTGTGTAAAATTTTAAAAACATTTACTTGGCCATTTCCAAAAAATCAATTTTAAATATCCCAGTGCTCTCATACATTTTGAACCACAGAAGTCACTCAGTCTGGAACTTTAAGTCAGGCCCTGAATTATGAATTGAGGTTAATGTTGTGATACTCTAGGAACCCTTGGCTATCTCACCTTTCCCGCCCAGGCCAGACGCAGTGACCCCAGCTCAGGGGCTGCATCAGGGGGCAGTACCCATGGTTTCTCTTCCCCTACGTTCTTCCAGGAAGGGGCACAGCGACTGGTGTGGGAGCCTGTCACACAGAGAAGTGCCCACACTCTCGGACCATATTTTTAAGCATGCCAAACATATTTAAGATTTCCCCCCCAACTCATTGCAAAAAAAGATATTTCTAAGGGCTTGCCGATTTACTTTAGGAGCGGAATATTCTACCTCATTGCCAATGATTTTTTTTCCCGACAAGGAGTTCCCACTCTCACCCACCCACTCCCTGGTTTCTTCATATCCACCTAGATCAATGTTCACCTCCCTGAACCATGTAGGATTTGCTCTTCTCCTGTGGGTAGACTCAGTTCTCTGCTGTTTTTCTTTTGGCATGTCTAGTCACTCCCTAAAAAACCCACTTCTAGTTACTTCACTCAGCCACATGGGTTTTCCCATTCTCTCTATGTCCAGCTCCATTTTCTGACTTCATTTTGCAAAACTATGGACACAAACCTCTGAGGACTGTGATGGATTCAGAAACATGAGCCGGTTTCCAAATCCAAATAGGAAGTTAGCGTTATTGTGTGAGTTTGCTGCCAGCACCCCAGCATGGGAAGTTAAATTCTCCTGCCTGTCACTGCACACACCAGTCATCTGTGTCGTCATTTAAAGTAAGTCTACTTCAGGCTGGGCCCAGTGGCTCACACCTGTAATCCCAGCACTTCGGGAGGCCAAGGCGGGATGATCGCTTGAGCCCAGGACTTTAAGACCAGCCTGGGCAACATGGTGAAACCCCATCTCTACAAACTATACCAAAAAGTTAGCTGGGTGTGGTGGCACGTTCCTTTATTCCCAGCTACTCAGGAGGCTGAGGTGGGAGGATCACTTGAGCCCAGGAGGTGGAGGATACAGTGAGCTGTGATCACACCACTCCACTCTAGCCCAGGCAGCACAAGACCCTGTCTCAAAAAAACAAAATAATTAAGTTTATTTCAGTACCTATTGAAAAAAACAGTAAGACGCACAAAATCAATCTTTTCCCAAAGGAAACCTTCCACAAAGGGGACCATGGTGTTCTACAATGCAGAAATACGGATTCAAGAAGAATCAACACCACCACCAGATAATAGAGAGAGGTGTAAATCAAACCACGAAGCTAAAGAATTCCATTTCCAGATGTGGCATTAAGATTTTATGACTTTGTAAGTCCAAACAAGAAGATAAATACTTGTGCAAAAAACAAAGTTAGAGTATAACAAATTACAGCCGAACTTCCATCTTCAACTATTCCTCTTTCTCTATCTTAAGCTACCTTTTCTTCTAATGGAGACTTGTGGGCTGTGCAAATACAAACAGACATCAGGAAGCCAGGAGCAGGTCAGTCTGCTGTGCCTCATCCCTTCTGGCTGCTGCACCACAGCTGAGCAAACCATTTGTCAAGACAAACAGAAATGTACAGTGAGTAGGAATCTTTGGTGTCTTGCTTGGACTATGAAACACGAAAGCAAGGCTGGCTCCTAACAGCTCACCCTGCCCGGGTCAGGTCTCCTGTTGTCATTTCACAGGCCAGCTCTCAATTTCTCATTTGCTCAATACAAAGCTGCTTCAAGATTCCTGAAGCACAAAAGGGCCTCCACTGCTCCACAGCATCACAGGTGTGGTTCCTTCCTCCACTGCCCTGCCTGTGCATGAGGGGCCTGATGAAGACCGAACCAGTGCTCCAGAGGCACAACCAACAGACCTGTGGCTGCCCTCGGGGCTCCACAGAGATGCCCACAAAGCACAGAGAGAGCCGAGGCTTCCAATTTCCCTCCAAACAGGCAGGCTCACGTCCGTTACTTGCTTCTCACCTGCAGAACTGGGCCCAAAATAGAGGGGAGTGGAATTTAATATCCATAAAAATCAGTTGTTTACGGTCTCATTTTCAGCTCACAGTTATTCTGTGTTTTCCGCTCTTGGTGGTGGTTTAACATGGCTGGGCTCTAAGTATAATCCTGCCTCTTGGAGCAGGCTGCAGAGCAGCAGAGGGTTGCTCATACAACACGGTGGGGCCTTCTAATGAACCCCATTACTCGGAAGGCAGCATTTCCATGCAGAGTGAGTCAGCAGCAGGCACTTGGCTTTGCAGGGCTCCAGGTGACCTGTTTGCATTTACATCCAAGATCCCGAGGTGGGCTGTACAGTTCCTGTTTCTCTACAGAGTGCAGCTTATTAGCAAACGCGAATAGAATTTTAAATAATGACCAGTGTTTTTACAGGCTACATTTAGTTTATCTCCCCACCCCACCCAGCTTACCCTCCCTGAAGAAACCCACTATGAAATGGCTTCACAAGTTAATCAGTTTGTTTTTATAAAACACGTATAAAAATAATGATGGCTGTCTTCTTACATACATATGTGAGAACATACTTTCTTCATCTGATAAAACTCCTAAAAACCAAAGTAACAGTTTGCATAGGTATACTTAATTTTGTGCAAATCTTACTAAAATAAGGCCATCTTCAGTGTTTAGGTAGTGTCATGCTGATTAAAGTAAGCCCTCAAGAAATAAGAAAAATTCTCTGCATTCCAAATTCTCTCCAAGGACATCCGACTTCCCAGGCAGAGAGCTGAGACCAGTGGCTCTGCCGGCACCATAAGGCAACACATGTCCTGGAAGTAAAATCCAAAGGGACAGATGATATGTGCTTTCGTGATGGAGGCAGGAGGGGCTCCGTCTTTATTCTTCCTTTATAAAACAGAGGCCAAAATGCAGGAGGCAACAGGACCATCCGCGCAGTTGCAGGTGTACAGTCTTCCTGTGGTGCTGCTGCTGAACAGCTGGGATTCTGACATGGGGCACTTCCGGACATCACTGAACCCCAATATTGCTTGGTGTGATCTGAGCCGCAAGATGAATCACTCAAAGGGATAGGAGAATGACACCCAAAAAATATAAGGAGGAAAAAACGGAGCAAAGAAAACTGCCATGGGAGCAACCAGCTTATGAGACTTACATTCTATATATAACATAAGGTGGAAAGGCCCGGCTAGAGAGAGAGAGGAAAGATACAGAAAATTCCCCTCCCCACAAATCAAGTATTGTCAGGAAACATTAAAGTAGAAATCTTTGTAAGCAGCTTTGCATTTAACATTCAGTCAAGACACTAAAACCTTATAAAACAAGAACCTCTATTAAAAGAAAAAAAAAAAAAAAAAAAAAGAAGCTAACAACAGGAGTCCTCAAAGTCACCCAGTATCTTGTAGCACAGAATGGAGTGTTCCTGGGCCAAGGCTGCCAGCTCCTTCAGGAACTCTGGGAAGAGGGCAGCAGCCAGCATGGGGTTCCTCACTGGCAGGGGCAGGTTGGGGGGTGCCTCAGCCACCTTGGTTCGGTGGGTCAGGAAGGGCTGAAGCACTCTTGGAGGTCCATCCAAAAGGTTCTTGCCACTTCCTGTCTTGGAAGCCTCCTCAATGGGATCTGAAAGCAGAAAGAAGACCATGATGGCGTCCCTCTGTAGCCTTCCCATCCACCCTCTTCAGTGGAGCATGTGTTTGGGGGCAGAGTTGCTGGAGAGTATCTAGTCATGAGTGCAGTTCCTATACTGGACTAAATCCTGAAGATGCAGCCCTTGTGCACTCCATGACACACATATTTGCCCAACAGATATCCTCCAGCATATAGCATGTGATATGAGACTTTCACCCAAAATTCCTTCTAAGGAACTTCACGCAGAAATCATGGAAAGAATATAGGTTTGTCAAGAACCCTCCATGCCAGAATATGGAAATGGGGAAAACTGACAAAGGCATCTCCTGTCACTGGCTTATTAAGGGGTGATGAGTAGCCCCACCTGCTCTCCCAGCCTCCAATGCTGGGATGACTGTTCTCCCTTTGCCGCTGAAGCCCTGACAGCACAGCATAGCTCCAGCAGGGAGGCTGGGTGAGCTGGGTCACTCCAAGCTCTCTGCAGCGGGTGCTCCAGCCTCTCAGGCTCCCCAGTGACCTCCAGTCTTCTTCTGGCTGGGACCACCAACGTTTTACATAAAAGGAGAGCGGAAGATTCCTTGAGATCAGCAGAAATAATGGAAGGGAAGTTGGGTGCTGGTAAGACCAGAGTAAGAACTTCCTGCAACCATGGGGAATTAATAGTGTCAAATGGCTTAGAAGCCTACATTGAAGGAGGGTTGCCAAGGGTTTCCATCTCAATTTCAATAACATAGGCCTAAGATGAGTTCAAACTTTAACATATCCAAGTGATTTGCATTTTCTTATCAAACTACTTTTTACTAATTACAATGGTTCAACTTCCCTATTTGATTCCTGAACATCACCAGCCTTCATATATTTGTAGGAATTATTTATGCCTTCCTCTGCCCCCTACCCAAACAATCTCATTACTCCTTATAAATCATTATATTCAAGTTCTTCATTATTTTGGCTGCTTCTTAGAATTCAGTACCATTTTTCAACACTCTTCTCAGAGTGTTGCTTAACTACAGTACTAAAAATTCTTGACATTTATAATACTTTCCACATCTCACTACTATAGTCTTTAGTGTTAAAAAAAAAAAACTTCCACTTTCCTGCTTTAAATATCCTTTTAGATTAAGACTTATCACAGCTTTAATGCCATAAAGAACTGGAAAAGTTGCTGAGAATCTGTCTTCTGCTACCTTTCAGCAGAAATTCATGCCCCGGCAACAGAGTGAGCATAAAAGTGTTGATATCACTGAGGTACATGTCAACCTTGGAGAGCACTCCTTCTCATCCCCAACCATAGCTCAGGCCCTGTCACTCTCCAAAGCACCCAGCAAAGCTCACAAAGGAAGCTGGCCTGCATTCCAATGGGGAATGGGACACTGTGGACACTACTCCCAACTGAGACCTGCACTGCTCATGCTGGTTCCTCCACCTGGAATTCCCTGCCCCATTTCTCTGCTCACCTAAATCTTACTAGCCTTAGGGGCATTATTAGTATAGTGGTTAAGACCACAGAGTCCCACTTGCTGGCTGACTTCAGGCAAGTTGCTTTACCTCTCTGTACTTCGATTTCCTCACCTGCCAAAAGCTCACAGAGTTGTTATAAGGATTAAATAAGTCAATAGGTATAAAGTACACAGGGACCTCTGAATGGGTGTCAGCTACCACATCATCCTCATCAGTACAGTTGCCACCAAGTTCACAATGAATTTCCAGTTTCCTGCCCCCAGAATGCATTCCTATAGTCTTTATGCCTTCCTCTGCCCTCTACCCAAACAGTCTCATTCTAGCTTCCTCTCCATGTTATTGACCAACTAAGGCCTGCATTGCCCTTCAGCCTCACATTGTTTATGTTTTATCTCCTCTACTAGACTCCAACCTTTCTCAGGGCTGAGCCCTTTCTGATAACATGTCTTTAGCAACCTCTAACACACTTCTATATTCATAGTAGGAGCTAATAAATATTTGCTGAATGAATGAGTGAAGGAACTGATCTCATCAGTCTTCCCTACTCCTGATGCTCCCCGCGGCTGCTCATATTCCTCATCTCCCCATTCTCCTTCAAATTCATTCATTCTCTTCTCCCCTAAAAAGGGGTTTTGTGATTCATTTATCTAGCTTGAGCTGTGAATAAAAAGTGTCATTGCTAAGGCTCATTTACTCAGTATGAATCCAAGAATCAGAACTGTCTTCACTAACGAAGACAGGAGAACACCCAGTGAGGGAGACCAGGGGCTGGCCAGGAGATCCATAGCACAATTCCATCAGCGGCTGCAGCATGTTGACCCGGGCTCCCCTCCGGGGTCTTGGCCTTTCAGTGTGTCACCAAGCACCATCAAATTCTCCATTCGAAAGCAAGTAGACCCGAGTTACGGTCCCTACCTGGCCACCAGCTCATCACAGAATGTCTCAGTATCCATCTCTGTAAACTGGGGACATTACCTACCTGATCTCCCTTCTAGAATTAGTGCCCAGTAAAAGAGCTCTGAACATAAGTAAATACAGTGAACTGTTACTCTGTGGTTTGGAAAGTATTTGAGTAGAAAGAGAAAGGCCTGGCAAGTGGCTGAATCTCAGACACCAACAGCCTCAAGAATAATAATGTGGAACTGGGAACAGGACATCCGCTTGCTCTGCAGCAGCGGCCACACAGACTTTCACCGCTGTTGGAAGCATTACTGAGAAGGCTCGTTTTTCACCGGGGCTGCCAGGAGGCGAAGGGAGTGCAGGGCCTGCATGATGGAGCAGCTCTGGCTGCAGGCGCCTGAGTTACGCCCCTCATAAAAGGGTCCAACAAGCATGCACGAGCACCTGAAGAAAAAGGCAGGGCGGAGGGAAGTATAAATAAATGTCAGAATTAGGAATGGCTTCTGAAATGTTGCCCTGGGTCTGAAAAGCTGCAACAGAAGGTTTTCAAGACTAATACTGGGAAGATTTCAGAAGTGAGGAGAGAGATAGGTTATGTGTTCATCTCCCCGGCAGCAGTATTAGGCAAAGGGCAGAGCACGCAGACACTTGGACCAGGCCCATTACCATAATTCTTCATTGTAAACTGCTCTGCATCCCAGTGAGAACAGGCCTCCCAGATTTGAATCATTTATAGGAAATCACGTCACAGTAAATGCTTCAGAAGTCATCTTTGTATAAGGGGACAGGAAACTCTCATTCTGTCAGTTAAAGATGCTTTAAGTGGGGGAAGAGTATGACTTGGCTAACCTGGAAAAGTTAGAAAGTTAATCTAAAAAAACTCAAGTAAAAGAAAAGTATTATATCCAGAGAGAAGATTCTTACAGGTCAAAGCCCTGGAGTGTCACAGACCTTGCTTAAGGAACATGGAACCCAGCTAACTAATTTGACAACCTTAGGCAGTGAGAACAAGTTCCCCAGGCATATATTTTGCAATCATGGTCTCCAGATATTCTGAAGCCAGGATAAGCCCAAGGTGTGAGTGACCCTCACCCTTTCCCTGAATGTGGGGGTTAAGGCTCAGTGTACCCTGAGTATCTGGTGTACCTCAGTGTATGTAGGTTGGTCAATGTGTACACTCGTCTCTGAATTAGCTAAGATGGACTCAGGCACTTGAGTTTCACGATCCTGGCTGAATACCCTGGACCTCTAATTTTGGCTTCCTTAATGAAAATGAAGCTAATGGTACCTTTTTTGCCCTTTTCAGAGTGCTATTTGATAATGAAAATTGACCGCCTGAGAAAGCACCTTATAAACTGTAAAATACAATGAAGACTAGGCCTTGTCTAGGAGGCTACAGAATGCCCACAACTTGTTGCAGCTCTTCCCATCAAGCGGTAGGGTTTTTGCTCCATTCTTCAATCTGCGCTGGCCCTGTGTCTTGCTTTGGCCAACAGAATGCTGTAGAATGGACCTTACATAAGCTCTGAGTCTGAGCCTCTAAAGATTTTCTGTGCTTCTGCTCTCACTCTTGGAATCCTATTAACTATGACATGGACCAGCCTGGGCTACTCTGCTGGATGGTTAGGAACACCCCCATCACCCTCATCACTCCAGCCAACAGCCACAGATGTGAGGCTATCCTAGACATCCAGCCACCCACTGATGGCAGCCACACAAGCGAGTCCAGGCAAAATCACCCTGGCCCAGATCAGCAAAACACCCAGATGACCACACAGATTCATAAGCAATCATAAATGGCCTTGTGCTAAGCCAGTGAGTTTCTGCAGTGGTTTATTATACTGGTAACTGGTGCACCTTCTCTCGCGGGGTAGGTGGCAGCAACATGTGCCCTGTTCAGGAGGAACACAGCTCACACACTGACCACCCGTGTGTCTAAGGAGGCCACGTGGCACCTGAAGTCCACCTTCCCACAGAGGTGCCGGGGCCTCTCCCTCCATGAACACCTTTGCCTGCTCTTCTCAAAGTCCAACAGCCTGAAGCCCGGCTCCTCACTTTACCAGTGGCACATAGCCTACCTTTCTTTCAAACCCTACCTTGCAGTACCCTAAGGGCTCATCACAACCCAACTTCTGGCTTCAGCTAGAAAGCACCTAAGAGATGGAGAACAAATCCTTCATTGAAAAGTCAAGCGACATTGGGCCTGTGAGGTAAAGCAACCAAGATCAAATAGCTGCACATTGTTCATAGCTCTCTCCATTGTTCATCTGCCACAAGGAAGCCTGATTGGTCTGTGTGTGGAAAAGTAAAAGCCAGTGCAATATGTGGCATTCCTACTTTGCTCCTACCAAGGCCTAAGTTACAGCTCAGGGGACAATGGTCAGCAAATCGGTCCAACCAGAGCTTAGATAAGGTAAAGCAGCAGTGGTGCTCCCGGGCCTGGCCAGCCATTCTCAGCGCTCCTACTAGTACCGACCCATCCCCTGCCCCCACTCCTCACTCTGCCAGGGCCCTGGCCTAACGCCTCCTCTAGAGCTCATAAAAAGGCACTCTGAGAGGTTTTAGGCTGGGCATAAACTTTACTTCTCACAGTCCAAACCGTTTTTTTGTTTTGTTTTTTGTTTTACCTCCTAGGGCCCTAAAGCACACTTATTTTTGGCCCAAGAGCCTCTGAAAACATAATAAAGAGAACACATGCCCTCCTCAGGACAGGGCTGCCCAAAAAAATGGCTCGGAGAGTGCACATAATGCCTCTTTCTGGCCCATGTGTGCTGTGTGATTTATTCTAGCCTGATAATACCCTACACGTCAGCTCCTTCCAGGCACCACTCTCAGTTAAAAGACCAAATCCCCTCTAGACCCTCCACAAAGGAAACAGGCCAGGTGTGAGCAAGGGAGACCTTTCTTTAGGATTAAGAATGTGAAGAGGTGGTTCCTCCCTGTTGCATAAAAATGAAAATATCTGAATGCTTCTAGGATCCAGAAGCCAGTGCAGCGTCTGTGAACTGAGGCCAGTAGGCTAGGGACGTGGAGGAGGAATTTAAGGAGGGGTGCTGTGGAGAAACCTGGCTTACCTTTGGTTAGTGCCGCAGGGGTCATATCAGACATGTCCACACGGAAGAGCAGGTATTGCTGGGCTTGTATGAGGAGTCCTGGGAAGTCTCTCTCCACAGAGGCAAACTGTTCAATCTTGTTTTTCACAGATGCAAGGACCTGTCAAAACAGCATTACTGATGTTAATGCCTCACCATGAAATTCCACTCTCAGTTATCAATATATCTTGCAGGTACAACCCTCATTATGGGAACTATTATGATGTTAGACATTGGCTCATTTTTAACTGCCTGGGTGTTCTGCGTAGGGCACCCTCAAAACATCGAACCAAATGAAGCTCTACAGTTTGTTTAGAATAAACTACACAGTGAGCTTAATAGGACAGGGAAGGAAAGCAAATGAATTAGAGCAGAGATGCCCTACAAATTAGCACCCACAAAATCAACAGGTATGGATGTGGGCTCAGCTAACATACCTGATAGAGAGAGCGGACGCTTGGCTGGAAGACCATGTTGGTGTTGAGCAGAAAGGAGCGCAGGAGTGGCTGGGGGTAGCTGGCTAGCTGAGTAATGATCCCAATAAGCAGCAAATTAACATGTAAAGAGTTCTCCAGCATGTTCTCCAGCTTTGACAGGACCACGCTGATGAATGGGCCTGCAGGAAGAACATAAGGCTTCAGGGCTGGCTGGGCTCACACAGATGCCTTTCCCTGACAACGGCAGAACCATCGGTGCCACAGCTCCCAAACCACCACGGGCCTGCAGGTGCAAGCCAGACAGCAAATACGGCCAAGTTTTCTCCTGCCTCGAGACCAAAACAGAAAACAAACCACCACGGCAAAAAGAAAACAGAAAAATAGGCATGGCTACTGACATTTTGACTCCATGAGCAGTTTTGATACTTATTAAAATTATCACAGACCTCGAAAAAAAAACCAAATAATTTAACTTTTTAAAATTAAAATATGCTTTTCTACATTGTTCCTGTATTTCTTGGGGCTGCCAGTGCTTAACACATGACAGCCATCATCTCATGATGCACAGACTATATGGACTGTAGCGTTTCATGTAAGCACCAGAGGCCATTGAAAGTCTTAGTAACAAAACATCTGTGTAAAAAACACCAAAAATGCACAAACTATGTTTATCAAATAGCAACACTGAGAACAGGGGTTGTCGATCCTGAACAAGCACACTGAGAAAAATTTGGTTTTGTCAAGTGTTGTAATGTGGAACAATAAAAAAAAAATAGGTGAGAGGTGGAGGAGCGCCTGGTTATAACCTTAGCAACTCAGTAACCACACCTGAATTTTCAGAGGAGAGAGAAAAGGGTGTCAGTTTGGGGAGATATAGTTCGCTGTGTCATAGATTTCTTAAAAAAGAAAATCTGTATGACTACAAAAGCAGTCATTGAAAAAAAGCAGTTAAAAAAATTAGTCATGCAAAAGCAGTCCATTAAAAAAAAAAATAGGCAAAATGAAGTTTCTGCTACTTTGGGTCACTAGAAAATTAATATGCTTTGAGTTCACTGAGAGCAGGGAAAACCAAAAATAAATCTGGCATTAATAAACTTACTTGAAGATACTTTAAATTTTTACCATAAAAGTGTTCTGTTAAACACAATCAATGAGAATTTTGCATTTCCCTTGGTGGAGCTATTGATGATGCTACTAAACCATGACATGTTTATAACAAAAGTACACATCCCTTGATAAATAAGCCATGCCTTATGAAGATGTCACCAACATTACAAAAACATACTTCATCACAAGATGCTTCATTCAGAAGCCCTGGTAGCATAAGAGAGTAAAACCCTTTGCAAGGAACAGAAGCTCTGTGTGTAGAATGGGAACACCAAACTGAAACCTTTACCACACAGGGGAGAAAGGGGGTAACTGCAAAATCTCTGTCTCCAGGAACACCGAGGATGTCTCTAAGGGATCTCAACACAAGAGGCACCATCCCCTCACGTGTGGCATTTAGCCTCAACTTTCCCATCCTTGGGATGGGAGGCAGAGGTCTTTAGTCACTTTCCATGACATAAGAGGTCAATGAACTCTTCAGATAGAGACTCCTTGGAGATGCTTACAAACAACTGGGAGACTTTGCCAAACACATCTGGAAACTCTGGATAGGGACCCCAGTTTGAAAGCAATGAATGGTTTTCTCATAAAGAATCCCAGAAATGTCAATGGTAACTCTTAAGGCATCGCAACACAATTCTGGCTTTCCAGGTAGATATAGAGGGGGAAGGCTGCTGTCCTCAGCTTCTTCTCACCTGCTCCCCTACAGTCCCTGGCTCAGCATCTATTTCCTTCCAGATGGAGAAAAGCAGGTGAATTGAGACATACTTAGGTGGCCAGAGTCTTCTGTAAAACATATGACCCTAAAATGATCCCTCAACTTCTCTTCCCCAGTCCCAGACTGTGCCTGGCCACATCCAGCCATCCTACAAACTCTAAACTGCTGACCATGCAGTGACCAGGGGAGACCGTCCACAGGACATCACTACTATAAGGGGTGAGGTGTGGTGGGAGGGTTCCCACAAGCTTGAATCCCATGCCCTGTGGAGAGGAAGATCATGTCATTATTGACCTATGTGAATAACGGACTATTATTAGGTCAAGGCCAGTAGACTGTAATGATACAAATGGAGTCCACTTTGACATTCTAATTACTGTCCGCTAATGAAATGACTCATCACTTGGGCGTGTGCAATAAAAAATGTGTTAAAACTTTCAAATTCCTACTTTATTCTTAGTTTCTAGCACTACAAAAAAAAAAAAAAAAAAAAAAAATTCCTGCTTAACAAAAAGTGCGTAGGGGGATCTGGTAAGCAGCCGAAAATCGAGACTCAGCACAATTCAGGAAGCTGCAGGTGTGTCTGGAAGACAGCGGTTTTATTTTCTTCCCACATCTCCTAGGAGCACACATAGACTCCCCGCCTCACAAAGTATTACATTCTTCAAAGTCACTGAGACAATCTCCACTGCGCCTCCTGTCATCCACTCACGGCTCTCCCCTGTTCCCCTGCCTCTGTCGAACCTGCACCCTCTTCCTGCACTTCCCCTGTCCAAGAATGGAGCAGCCGTCGATTCTGTGCCTCCACTCAGCAAATTCTACCCTGGACATATCTCCTGATGTGGACCTGAAGCTCCACCTCCCCTGCTCCACTGCCTGAGGTCAGTCTCATTTCTGATCTGGACTCCAGCAACAGTATTTCTATGTTAAGAGAGATTTCATTTAATTATTATTGAAAACAGTTATTAAGCACATCCTATCTGCCAGGCAGTGTGCTGAGCACTTTTCATGTATCAACTCACTCAAGATTCAAAACAACCCTAGGAAGTATATTTATTATTTATCCCCATTTAAAGAGGAGGCAGAATGCTAAGTGAACCCAGCTTTGAATAATAGAATTTTAATTCTCACCACCTGTTCCAGTGCTCTTACCCAACACATTATCTTGCCTGCCAAGGAGAGAGAGAGAGAGGCAGAAAGAGAGAGAGACCTAGCATTTTTAACAATACACCCTGGAGACCACACCTCATATCAACACATACAGAGCTGTCCCATCTCAGGACCACAAAACATTAGATTGCCGGGGTGTTGCACAAGCAAATCAGTCTCCCACTGGTGGGTATTTGGGTTGTTTCCAGTCTTCTTCTATTCTAAACAATGCTGCAATGAACATCCTTGTATGTACACCTCAGCACACAGTGTGAATACAGCTCTCAGGACATTCCTAGAATTACTAGATTACTAATTACTAGTAATTACTAATTACAGAATTACTAGATAAAGGCACTGGCACGTTCTGAATTCTGACACGGCAATAAGGGTGTCTCACTTGTTTTTCCTGGCACCAACCTCTCCCCACTCCAGTGCTCGGCCCACACTCCTACCAAAGCTGGCCTTTTCAGATCCAGTCACATCATTCCTCAACTTTATACTCCAGGGGCTTCTTCAGTTCCAGGGCACAAGGTTTCCATCCCTCGGCTTGGCCCAAAGGCCCTCCATAAGCTGGCACCAACCAAGCTTTCTGCCTTTCTCTCCCACCTCCCCACCCCACATAATCCATGCGGTCATACCCCACAGGCTGGCAGGCTCTTCAGTCTCCTCCTGCTGTCTCCTCTGTCTGGACTATCATTCTCACCTGCTTTCACCTGGGGACTTCCCTGCACTGTCCACGCCTCTTCTCTCTGAGGCCATTCCCACTCCCCTCACTGGGTTCCCACTGGACTTGGCATATGACAACTAATCATGCATTTCCCACTAAGAGAGTACACTTCTTTGTTGGGGTCTCCTCTGAAAGTCTGTGAATTCCTTTAATGTTGTGTCCTTATTTCCTAGCATAGCACCTGCCAAACATCAGGGGATCAATAAAAGATTGCTGAACACATGAATAAATAAAATTAGACAAATGGAATGCTTTGATTTTGCTGGGAAGTGAACTCATTTCAGTGGAAATCAGATGCCCTGGAGAGAAGAAGTTAAGCCTAATGCTACAGAACACACTCAGAAGTGCAGAAACTATAAAGCAGACATACATGGAAAGAGAGATGTTTCCTAAAGCTGAGTACAAGGTTCAAAAGAGGAAAAAGGAAGGTTTTAGTGACAATTACCTGTATGTATCAAAGAGCTTGCAGTATGTTTTGTCAGTTCTCAGGTGTATAATATGTAAAATATTGATGTTATTTAATTGGGTGTTGGATTCGCTTTTTTTTTTTTTTTTACCTTGCCCTGAGCTATACTTTCTTTCCTCTATTTACACATTTCCCAGGAATGAAGCTCCTCTGTAAGAAAGCTGGAATTCTGAAGAATAATCTTCATGGCCATGGGTAGCCCAGATGTCCTACGAGAAGGCAAGCTGTGACATGCCAAGTTACTGCTGCCCTTTCCCTCCAAGTGAACTCTTCCAGCTCCCCCTTCCCTGTCCCCCTTATCAACTGGGAAAAGTGAGATTATCTAATCCATTTTACTTATGATTGACTGACTGATTGAATTTTAATTAAAACTCATTCACACTGAAACGTTATCTCAACCAGAACCGCAAGCCTTTAATTGTGGAATTAAAAGCTTTCTTCCTATATATACAAGTCTTCAGGCATCAGTAAATAGATGAATAAATATTGGAGGAGGAGGCTGAAAGAGCTCCTTGAAATCACATAAGCCTACTTGGCTGGCTGGACCAGAAGGCAATCTGTTTTCATCTATTTTGGGTTACTCCAAGAGGTAGGAGCACAGTCCCTCCTCACCAAGCTTCTCCAGGGAGCTACCTGTCATAAAATGAATAATGACCTCCCAGTATCTCATTCAGTCCTCACTGGAGCAAACGGAAGGCCTGGGATGCTAAGGCCCACATGCTGCTAAATGCTAGAGCCAGGACTCAACCCCTGACCTGGCTCCAAGACCACTGTCGCCCTCCGTTGCTACTATCTTCCAGCCCCTCTCCTTGCTACCTAAACACCATCCAGTGGTCCCACCCTTGCCCTCCCTGGGCTTAGTGAGCCATCTCATCTATGGCGATTCCCATTGCACCATGATTTGTAAATGCAGATTTTGTTGGCTAATATTTAATGATGTTTTCTATCATAAGTACTCAGCCCAATCTGCCTGTCTGTAAATCCTATCCTATCCCTTTACCTCTTGCAAGATTTCTACCTGTGGCTGGTGGTGTATCATTGAACACACACACTCTTTCAAAGCGCTCTTAGTTGATGTGGGTCCACTCTACTTATTTTTGGATAAAGATTTTGTGATTCTCTGAAATGAGCTCCCAGGCAAAGGCACAGCTAACCCCAATGCCTCTGATGTGTACACAGCTACTGTCACCCAACAAGGACTCTGAGCACCTATTCTGTGCTCTGTTCACTCTTCCAGTGCTAGAGATAGAGCTCCACCCTCACAGAGCATGCATTCTACTCGGGGAGACAGTCATTTGTTAAAAATAAATGTAAATAAGTGTTAAGGAGAAAAATAAGTTAGTTACACTAGAATGAATTAAGTCATTAAATAAGAAGTCTGGATTCTTGTGTGGTTTAATCAGCCCTACTATTTTAACACTGACATATCAAAAGAAGTTACTAAGTAATAAAATCTAACCCCTAGCTTGAGAAATAAATAAGATAATCGTTGCAAGAACGGCAAAATAAAAATAAAGTCACCCCTCTGCTCTTGACAAAAATATTTTCAGCCCTCTGTTAGACAAACCGATCATATTCCTTACCTTTGCCTACCTTACTTTCCTGTTCCAATACATATAAGTACTTTCAAAAGCAGAAACCACAAAGCAATGTAAGATGGTCACCTGTGAATGGGGTGCTTTGAGTCCTCACAGGATGGCGACTGGCAAAGACAGCCTCATCTCTCCCCACAAACGGGGAAAGCACAGTCTCTACAGCAGGTGTCTCCGCTATAAAAGAGTCAAAGTCATCCTCCTCCTCTTCTAGCTCCTTCTTCCCCTCCTCCTCCTTTTCTCCTTTGCTCTCTTCTTCCTTCCCTTCTTCCTCCTTAGTGAGAAGCAAGGGATCAGGTGTGGGGAAATTCTGTTCCATCAAGCCCTCGGCGCTGGAATCCAGCTCTTTAATGATTTGATCATACTGGGCAATGAGATCCTCGCTCTCCGGGTTGGCGGCCGTCAGGTTAGAGCTGTCCTCTGCCTCAGGGGCAGGGGATGCTAACTCTGAGTTGGATTCTGTGGCTGCTTCAGGTTCCCTCTCTTGCTTTGGCTCCATGGGCTCACTGTGAAATGGGTCTGAATTGTCCCTACTGCACTCCTCCTCTGAATCTGTCTCTGGCTGGGTGCTGAGGAGGGAGCCATTGTTGATGGGAACACTCTGAACTTCAGCCTGGGCTTCAGCTGGTGGCCTAGCAGCTTCCTCCTGAGAATCCTTCACATCCTCAGAGTCCTTCTCAGCACACAGCCTGTACACCATCACATCATCCTGAAAGTCCGACTCTTCTATGTAGGACCCTTTGAAGAGCAGGATGGCATTCTTCTTCATCTCCTGGATGTGTTTTGGGGGATCGATGGGTGCCGGGGGGCGTGAAACCTCCAGATCATCATAAGGCCCTGGGGAGCCCACGTCAGCCCCTGAGGAGATTCCAGTGTCATAGCTGTCATCCCATTCCAGCTCTGTCTGGCTCTTGTCCTTTCTGGGAGCCAGCTGAGGTCCCGTCTTCCTGGGGAGTTGTTGCGGGAGCCCGAACACAGGGCAGGCCGAGCTCACACTGCCCTCCTCCGTCAGACCCTGGAGAAACGTCTCAGGGTCGGGGGAGTCGCCATCATACAGGGCGGACCAGACACGGCAGTCCCTCATGCAGCGGAGGATGTTGGTGTGGGCCTCCCACAGATACTGCAGGTAGCTGATGTCCAAGGCTTTCCCATACTCCACAATGCAGGCTGACTGGGAGAATGCTTCAGGGAATGGCCACTCCACAGGCCCTGCACAGGAGGCAGAGGTCCATTAGAACAAGGGAGGTGTGGGGACAAAGGTCGTGGATGGGGGTGTGATCCATTTAGGCTAAGACTGTGTCTTGCCAGCTACTTTGGGTCTAATTATATCTGATTAAACAACCCCTGAATAATATGGTTAGATTGTAAGAAGGAAAGATTAATAATAGAAACTCTACACTCACAGAAGATAGAAAACCAATATAGCCAGTCAATAGTGGCTATAGCCAATGGAAATCTATTATCTGGTACGAGTCATTAGAGAAAGAAGAGCTGATGACAGCAATCTCTCAGGTTGTTGAGAGGATTAAATTAGGTAATACACCTGATATAGTACCTGCCACAGAGTAATAACCTTAAAGTTTTTTACTTTGAATCTAAAGTGGAAGGCTGATAATCCATGAATTTGAGAACCAGACTTTTTGTAGAAAAATCCTGGGTTTTTAGAAAAGCCTATTAACTCATTCTGCCTTCCTGGGGACTATCGAGGATGTTGATATTATCAAATGGTCTCCTAAAGTAAAATCATATTCACTACAAAAGTCATTTTAACCTAAGAATGCTGCTCATGTTACCATGACTGCCTTTGATGTTACAAGTTCCAACTTCACTACTGAAATAGCTGTGAAAATATCTTCCTATAAGTTTACATTTTCCCTCAAAAGAAAAAGACTGAGGGAAAAATATATAGTCTATCATTTCTTAAACATCTAGTATGCTGCAGGTGCTTTATCAATGCTATCTAAGTTAATTCTCCCAATGATCCTGTATGGTAGATATTATTTTCTCCATTTTCAGATAAAGAAATTGAGGCTCAGAGATGAAAGAATGCCCAACCCAAATTGTGGAAGAGCCACAATTCAAGCACAGGCAATTTCACACTGACCTCCATTCTTTCTTCAGTGCCACATCTTTGCAAGTCTCACGTCTCTTCATGCTCTAAATCTCTACCAGACTGGGTCAGAATTGAGCCTTTAAGGATACCCATTTCCAGGGCATTAGGGTAGACATAATTCATATTTTACAGCTCTACTGCTAAAATGTTAGTGTTTATCTCTTATCTATGTTATGTAAAAAGACATCAAATACTACTACTAGCAATATGTATTGTGCACTTACTACATGCCAGGCAGTCTTCTAAGAGCTTTACATGTCTTCACTTGCTTTCCTGAGAATAACCCTTTGAAGTAGGTACTATTTTACAGATAAGAAAAAAGATTTAGAAAACTTAAGTAATTTGCCCAAGAAAGTAGTAGAACCAAGACACAGAACCAAGATGCAGAACCTGAATCTTGGCTCTGCTACTTTCTTGGGAAAATTATTTACCCCTGTACAGTAATTACTCTGGCTAGCTAGCTAGCTATGTCACCACACATCCATTAGGGCATTTATCTGCTGTAAGGCAATTCCAGAGGCAGGAGAGTAGAAAGAACATGGAATCTGGAACCAGAGAACCTACTTAGCTGTATAGCCATGAACAAGTCAATTCCTCTCTGAGTTTGTTTATTCATCTGTAAAATGGGAATACTACCTTCTTCGAAACATTAAAAGTGATCACACAGAGAAAGAAGTTGGCAAGTTATGGAGAATCATAGGTTTAACTTGAATTTTGAATTCTGAGGCAAGGCTAGCCACAGAATCATTCTTGAAAAAATCTTCATAGTAAATTTAGAAAAGACATCAATTTTTAAATATGTTTTTAAAACAACTTTTAGGTATGAAAATATAAAATATCCATACTAACTTGCCTAATAGGAAAATACAATTAAATTACATAAATTACTAATTTCCATGCATCTTCATATAAAGACAAAGAATCAGTAAGACAACCTTAATTTCTACAAATTACATTAATATCAAACATACTGACATTTTCTTAGTCAAGTAACCCAGCTTTTAAATACACTTTAAGAAAATTATAGCTGGGTGGACAGAATGACATTGTTGGGGTGGATATCAGAATACAAACTGGAAATGCTTGACTCAACACCAGGACTGGGGATTTCCTAGTAGTCACAGGACATGCAGAACGTTCCTGAATTGAAACATCCATATGACCATCAAAGATACACAAATGCCCCCTTGCTCCAGCTGCCTGCCAGAGAGCCACGGTTGACAGAGATGGTCATTTCAATTTTGCTTGTGTGAGGTGAACCGTAGCTGGCAAATAGCACCGAGCATCATAACCCCTGTAAAGTGTTTATGGCAGCCTTCCTCACTAGGTCAATCAAATGCATGCGATTCCACTGTCATATCACAAATTTCAAGTTTTATAGTGATATACAATAATATGTAAATCCTTATGACAGATTTCTATAAGTGGCTCATTTTAGAAATTAAAATAAGGGCTGATTCTGTCTCAGTAATAGCCATCTCCACACCTCTCACCCCTGTCTTGTTTCCGAAGACAAGCTAGCACACGTTTTCACATTTTGACTCTGAGGATCCCACTAGAAAGTCCACATAAAATAAAGATCTGGCAACACTACGTAATGTCTGGGCACGTCAATAAACACTGATTACAACGTGTCCATAACTCCTTACAAAGCAGAACAGGATCCCAACTAGTCATTCATAAAAGAAATGGGACACACTACATAATTCCCTGTCCACCCAAAGGGACACACATCCCACGGCGAGATGAAATGGCATCCTTTGGTTTAAAGATCATCACTAGCGAGTTCCTACCTGAAGTGTCATGCATACACTTCGACCAGAGAATATAATCCCTCTCTTGGTTCCCCAGCGTCAGAGTGATCCCGCTGGAGCAGCAGACAGGAGTCAAGGCAAGCAGCTTGGCCGCAGAAACAGAGTAACAGTCTCTCTCCTTCACAGCCCACCTCTGACTCAGCATCATGTGATTGCAGGGGATCAGATACCTAAAATGACAAAAAGAACCAGTGTTTGGTCTCTGCAATGTCTTGAACCATTACTGGGACTAACTAAGCCATAACAGGGACTCCTTGTGGCCAGAGGCAGACTCATCCTCTCCCAGCTCTCAACTGATCATCTCATCAGCCACCAGGGTTTACTCCCTAGCTTAATTTCTTCTGAAAGAACATCCTCTTTACAAAGTACTTAATGTTCTTTACAATTTAGTCTCCAGGAACTTCTGCATCTCTTAAATGATCCCTCTTCACTTCCATGCCTTTGTGCCCACTGTCACCTTTACCTGGCCTGAGATTTCCCCTTTTCTCTGCCTGACCAATGCCTTTCATTCTACAAAGTCCAGCTTCAGTGTCACCTTCTTTGAGAGGGAGCTAATCCCTCCCTCCACTATGCTCATGGGCCTCTATTAAGCACTATTACCTTGTATCATGATTACTTCAGTGTCTACCTCCTCAATATAATGTGCTACCACAGCAAAGAGTTGCTTCGATCATTTCTCTTATAATCCCAGAAACTCTGGCTCACCGCAGGCACTGAATGGCAGCAGCAAACAACCACTCCATAGTGTAAACCTTTTCTTTACATTCTCCCGGGTGACCAGGAGAAAATATAATGGAAAATGACTCATTGAGGATCACTGGGCCCCATTTCACACAAAACACTTTTGGTTGGTGATCAAAAGCATCTTAGTATCATTATGAACCTGGGGACAAGAAAACCTGAGCAACCATTTCTGACACACCTGGAGCACATCGGTGGGCTTCAAGGCTAGAATAAAGTGTGTTTAAATGACTTCTTTTCTTAACAGGGGAAAAAAACATACTGCTTATTTAAACAAAAATGGAGCAAATGGGATAAAGAACTTATAGCCAGAGCCCAGCATCACATACGTGTGCAGGAGCCAATTACAGATGAGCCCAAGCCCTTATGTGAACAATCACAACCTTTCAGTCAGCCAGCATGTTTTTACTTCTGTATTCGGCATTTGAGAAAGAAACAGTGCAGAGAAAAACAAGATAAGATTAAGCTTTTCATTAAAAAAAGATAAAAAGTACGACTTTCAGGACATGTCTTCAGGCCTGTAAACATTCAACCATCTCCCACACCTCCTGTTGATCCAAATGAGGAAAACCTAAGTTGATATTCACAACTGATCCACTGCAAGAACCAGAGTCAGAGAGGGAAGAAATATTCCGCTCTCTTTGTGCTACTTGATACTGAAGGTTTTAATAATACTTTCCAGGTATGATATGGCAAACTTACCACTTAACCTTCAGTTCTCAGAAAAAGCAAACCATCTAGGTAAGGCGGTCCTCATCCCCTCCTCCCACTGTCCCCATGGGCAGATATATATTGTGAACCTGCTATCAGTAAGAACCAGACACACCCTGCAGGTCTGATGTGGTGGCATCTGTTTTCATAACTGCAGTTTCATTAAAGTAGAAGGTTACAAGAACAAAAAGGAAAGTATGGAACAGGGGGCAAGCCTGCTCTGATTCTTGGTTTAGTTTTGGGGAATTTAGCAATGAGGAAAAATGGATGTTGCAGGCAGAAAATAAAGGAGCTCTTTTCCACAAGGATATCTGTGAGTAGAGATGCTCTGGTAACCAGAAATAACAGGAGAGAGAAGCATTCTCCCACCTCTGTGTGAACCCGCCAGCTGTGAACAAAGCACAGCTGGACCCCAGTGAGCACCCAGAGAAGGCAATGCTGCTCTAGCACCACAGGAAGGTGCTGGGGTGCACAGCAGGAACAGGGGCAGCGGGTTGGGGGGTGGGAAGGGAAGGTAGTAGCAACAAAAGGGATCGGAGCAGGAGAGGGGACCATGGCTGATGCTGCTGTGGCAACCGTGGTGGGAGATTTGTTCATGCATATATGTAAGACTCCTCATTTGGGGGTGGGGTACAGTGCCTCATACCTGCAATCCCAGCATTTTGGGAAGCTAAGGTGGGAGGACTGCTTGAGGCCAAGAGTTCAAAACCAGCCTGAGCAACACAGCAAGATCCTGTTTCTATAAAACATAGAAGAGTTAGCCGAGTGTAGTGGTGTGCACCTGTAGTCCCAGCTAGTCGGGAGGCTGAGGTGGGAGGATCACTTGAGCCCAGGATGTAGAGGCTGCAGTGTGCAATGACTACACCACTGCACTCCAGCCTGGGGGACAGAGTGAGAGCCTGTCTCTAAAAAACAAAAACAGAGAAACAAAAAAGATTTCTCACTTGGTGATCCCTAGAAGTGATGGGTGATACTTTTGTGTTAGGTGGGGGGTTTAGGGGCAGATCCAAGGTTTTCTATGAGGTGGCTGGGGTGAGAGCTGGAAAAACCTGTCCTGTAGCCATTGATGTGAACTCTTCCCATAGGCTGGTGAGGCCTAGAGAAATTCAGATTACACAGGATTTATTGTATCCTTATTTTGGTCATTAATTATTTAAGAAATAAACTGCTTCGATGCTTTTATATACTGCTGGAATAGCAATGACTGCTTATGGCTCAAACTAAGCATATTTTATGATTTAAGTTGATATTCATGGATTTTTATTCTTTGAAGTATTAAAAATGGAACACTGGATCAAAGCTAATAAAGCTATTTATCAAATATCACCAGTGGGTAGCTTGAAACTATATTAGAACAAAGACTTATTGGGGAATTGCAACTTTACAAACACATGCTTTCAGTAGAAACTAAGAATTTTCTTCTGAATAGATCAAATCAAGGGAGATCCCCTACTGGTTGAAAGAGAGAGTCTACGAAACAGGAAATGGGGAGTGTATTCAAATGAATAGCCCGGGGTATTCTGAATGGTGGTTCTCAGAGGTCATTATATTAAGTTAAATAAGCCAGGCACACAAAGACAAATGTCGCATGTTCTCACTCATATGTGGGAGCTACAAAAGTGAATCTCACAGAAGTAGAGAGCAGAATGGTGGTTACAGAGGCTGGGAAGGGAAGGCAGAAGAAGTTAGTTAAGGGGTACAAAAATACAGCTACACAGAGTGCTAGTATTTAATAGTACAGTAGAGAAGTTACAGTTGACAATAATTTATTGTATATTTCAAAATAGATAGAAGAAAATAATTGTAATGTTCCCAACGCAAAGAAAAGATAAATGCTTGACATGATAGATATCCTAATGATCCCGATTTGATTATTACACAGTGCACGCATGTATCAAAATATCATGCGTACCCCAAAAATATGTACAACTATTATACATCAATTTTTAAAAGAAAAGAAAAAAAGCAGTGGTTCTGCTGTATCTTTAAAATGAAGGATCATCCCAGAAGAAAGAATAGAAAAAAAAGACCGTGCCCCTCTGTCTCTGTCTTTTCATCACTCACAGGAAAAGATTAGAAATAGAATTAATGCCAGAATATCCCCAAATGTCAAATATCAAAATGAATTGGCTGCCAATAGCGGAAAAATCACTTATCAATTTAGTATAGGTATTTATCCTCAAACTATCTTTTCATGTATACTATATTTTATTTGAGAATTTAAATTCATGAAACTATAAAAATAATCAGAGACTAATAAATATCTGACTTCAGAGGTCCAGATTTTGCAAAGCCATGCCCCAACACAGAAGGAAAAAAAGAAAAAATATATCTAATATATAAATAAAATATGTATCTCATATATATCATACATATTATCCTCCCTGATTTTCACTATTTCCCCAAACCTCTATAATCCTGGGCCTATTTCTTATTTTCTTGGATATTGGTCATTAAATTAAACCATCATCACTTCTAGAATATTCAGTGACAATCAGCTGATAACAAAGCACACATATTGCCCTATGCTATACTGACCATAAACACAAGCAAAACAAGGCAGTGAAGTACAATGAGCTAAGTGAAGCACTTCTTCTGAGATGATAACTCCAACAATGCACCCATAGACCAAAATCTACAAAGCAATGTTAGTGAATTCAAAAAGATCATTTGTGATTCAAAGAAGTTCTGGCCATATTTCTCCTATTCATTTTCCCCTAGGCTGGCAGGCTTTATGGGTTTTTGGGTTTTTTTTTTTCCTTTCCTCCAGACCCCTAACTCCTATGCAAAATGAAAATGTTCCTGAAGTATACATACAGCTTCTCTTCAGGCAAAACAACCTCTATCTGAACACAACAGGCAAGGCAGTTCATAAACCTGACAATGGACCAGTACTTCTGAAAAAAACTCTCTAACCAGAATATTCAGATATAGCATTCAATGTATTAAGCAATTAAATTTTGTCTCAACTGGGAGGTTCCAGGAGCATGGCAGATATTTGTTACCTCACTGCTTGTCAGCATTTTCTGCCTGCCTTTGGCCTATCATATGTCATATCCATGGAGGTGGACAATTTCTCCTTGGTTTTCTGCTCACTAAAATATCCTGTTTTTGGGGATACCTTATTTCAACTCACTTTTCTGATATTTTGTCAAATGAAGAAACTAGTACCTGTTACAAATGTATCATCATTTTGAAATGTTGGTATTTATGAGTATTTGGGTTGTAACAAAAATTGACATATAGTTAGTATTTATTTATCACATAACAAATACCTTCATTAAACGCAGTCACATAATCTTCATTGCTCTACTGCCTCTCAGATCTGCAAGTTTATCATGTATATTCAAATGACTGCAGTGGCAGTAGCAAACAAAAAGGACAGATTATAAATCCATTTTTTATGTCTCTTAAAATAATGTTCAAATGACTTGAAGAATAAACATTTTTTTATTGGCTTTGCTTTTTGCACAGATTCTAAATCGGGAAAAAATTATTTTCATTAGTTTAAAATGTCCTTTCTAGAAAATTCCCTCCCTTAAATGTGTGTTATACTTTACAGCAGGGGTGTCTAATTTTTTGACTTCCCTGGGCCACACTGGAAGAAGAAGAATTGTCTTGGGCCACATATAAAATACACTAGCACTAATGATAGCTAAAGGAAAAAAAGAATTGCAAAAAAAATCTCATAATGTTTTAAGAATGTTTACAAATTTGTGTTGGGCCCCATACATGCGGCCCGCAGGCCAAAGGTTACAGAATCTTGCTTTACAGCATTTCAAAACATTTTCACAGACATACCACAGTTGATCCTCCCAATAACCTTATGACGTAGCATATTCCAAAACCAAAACAGGCTTAGTCACATCAGCAGTGCAGAAGGAGGAGACCAGGAGCCAGTGGTTTCTTCCATGCCTATTATGTACCCAATCGACTTCTGTGTATGTCCTCTCAGTTTCTCTCCTGGTGGAACCCCTCAAGCAGCACCACAGAATTAGAAACAGAGGAAGTATTCAATTAAGAGTAACTATATTATTATTATTGTCACTATCATCCTCATTAAAGAAACTTAGGCCCAAAGAGCCTAGGACCAGGCAGTCAAGCCCACGTCCTAACCTCAGGTCTAGCACTGGTTTTTTTTTTGTTTTTTTTTTCATTATTCCATTCAGAACTTGTGATAACATAACATTCAGGCACTTCCCTGGGATATTTGTCCTCACCCACCCTAGAAATGACTAGCCCTGACTTGAACATTTATGCATTTCAACCATGAGCTGATCTCTTCATCTTTATAAGGTACAAGTCTGGGTCTCCAGAGAAGCCATTACTGATGCCATCTCTGAGGATACTTTTTTAACACAACCACCACCACTATATGAGCAGTAAAAGGGTGATTAGTGCTCACCTTGTAAAGGTCACTGAATAGCCAGCAAGCAAGAGCTTCCATCACCTGGACTAAATCTGACCTGGTGACCCACAGCTGGGAAGCTCTGCACCTCCAGACCAAGGCCAGGCTTCCAAGTACACTGAAAAAAGACAGCTGGTTTTCCTACCATCAAAGAAGCAGTATTTAAGAATTTAACATTTAAATACCATCAGGTTTTACCCACTTTGGAGTAAAAGCCTGGTTTTTTTGGCAGTAAAAACGGCTTTGCCAAGTTGTTCCAGATTTCAGGCCTTGCTAATGCATTCTGTCATAGATCAGTAGAGGCTTGATAAGGAGCTAACATAATCCTTTTAGGACAGATAACTAATGCTCTACCCAGACTATCCAGGGTGTTTCTTTAAGATTGGATTTGTTTTCTGCTAATCCTTAACATTAGTTACTGATGACCTAATCTAAAACCCTAAAAAGTTCAAAAGCTCTTTTAAACTTAAAAATCTAATAGGTGATACTCTCCTGACAATTCTGTAAGGCCCTCCACAATAGGCCACCACCAGCTTTTTCAGACTCATTTTGTAATCAATTCTCTTTTGCAAGATGTTATGCCTGCACGGCACCACTCCTCAAACAAAGTGGTTCTCAAAGTTAGCACCCACCCTTATTCCCCAAGACTGCTCCAATGAAGGGTCAGGAAGTCCACTAAGGAAGGAGGAGCAGGGAGTGCATGCCGGAGGACCCTGGTAGTCCCACTTTTTCGTTTTTGCTTCCACACCACCAGAAGAGCATGTAAGAGCACAAACCCTCGCAACTCGGAGCTCCTCTCAGCTCTAGCCCTTTTCTCCTCTCAGCCCTAGCCCTTCGCTCCTCTCTCAGCTTTGGGACCACATTCTCTCTGGGTCCGCTTCTTGCAGTGCTGGGGTAGGGTTTCACCAGAGTAGTCAACTCCAAGGTTCAGGATCTGGGTTTACCAAAAAGAAGGAAAGACGTGCACCATGGTCTAACCAGGGGTTTCTAGAGTTCTGTGCAGAGATTCAGAGCTAAATCATGAGCTAATAAGGAAGCATCATTGCTTTCCTTCACAAAAACAGATGCTTCTCACAGGTTCTGGAGAAGAAGAGGTATTGCTGGGCCAAGACAAGATTTGGTGTTCCTGAGTTCCCTATTAAATTGCCAAATGACTGTCTTCTTAATAGCTGTGCACTTTGACTCCTAATACTCATCTTCAAATCCCAGCCACTTCATAAAACCTTTCCCACCTGTACTTCTGTCCAAAGGACAAACCTTTGCTACCTTGTATATAAGTCCTCAGTTCACAGCAAATACTTATCAAATTTTTACTGAATTTAACTGAAATATACTCACAGATCAGAGAGTAAACACTGTGTGTGTACCATTATCAAAGCATTAAATCAAAGAAATTATATATCAAAAGCATTTTATATTTGGAAAACTTCCTTTTAATAGCAAAAGTCCCCTATAAATGTACTTCAGGAGAAAGACGTTCAGCCACAGACCAGAATAGCTTTTATAATACTTCTGAACATTTTCAAGCATTCTATCTATAATTTCCAGGAGCATATTTACAATATAATGCATATGGCCCTCGACAAACTTTTAATAGTACAAATAAAATTAACCTTGGGAAACAATGAAAAACATAAATTAATGTTCTTGATAATTTTCTTCCTTAGATGCATGGCCCCTATTCAGCTTATATGACCAAAGTAATATAAAGTATATGAATAGAAAGTAATATAAAGTATAAAGTGAATTTTTCTTTAAAGGAAACAAAAAAGGCAACTCACCTTAGAACTAGCTGTAACATCACATCTTCACAATGTAAACCAATGAGAGTTCTGAATAATGCCAGGGACACCACACAAAGCTGGGAAACAAGAGACACACATTCTATTCTAGTTCAGATGCTGGAACGATAACTCCACACCCCACAGATGGTAAATAAATCAGAATTACAAAATAAAATGGGCCTTTTTTTTTTTTTTTTTTTAGCAGTTTTGATAAAAAGCATGCTGCTGCCAGAGAGAATGTGTATTCAGGATATCAATTCTCCTATAGGATTTGATTAGAAAGCCAGTGTCTGGAATTATGCCACTGTGCAGAATTATCTTCCTACAAAAATGCCTGGGCTCATATTTCCAACTTTTAAAGATCCAGACAGATAAACATTCTCCCTACAATTCTCCAATTCTCTCTCTCTCACACACACACACACACACACTCCTATTTAGGTAATTTGTTTTCCTGAGTTATTTTTCAAACATTAGTTATTTACAAGACAGGGCTCAGGGAAAATTGTATATAACCTAGCCAAGTCTCCCTTCAGAGTTCTTAGCCTCAAGCTCAGCTCCTCTCTTGGCTATGGGGCTAACATTTTCCTTGGTTCCATTTCCCATTGTGCTGAGGGTGAGATAATATTCTTTTCTAAAAAGTTCTTTAAAAAAAACAAGAATTCTATCAATGCTGATTTCCAAAAAGAAAAGGTAAACTGCCAAATAGGGGAGATGCCCAAAGGTGTATTGTAAAATCTTTGTACCTTTTTGAGAGTAAGCTTTTATCAATCTACTGGCCCATTTAAGTAATTTTAAGCTCTCACTCTTTGTAGAGTAAATGCTAGTCTGTTTTCTAGGCAAGTTGGGCTTAAAATCTGGCCAATGAAATCCACAATGCTGTAAAGAAAGAGCTGTACTTAGCCTAACCCAAAACATCTCTTATCCTCAGGGCAGGTCATATACGTGTAGTTAGCTAGAAGCAACATACCCTGTTACCATTCCAAGTCTTTGCACTTGTGGGTCCATTAAATGCAATGGCTTTTCCTGACTCCTCCAACAGGCTAACTCCTATCTGTTCTCAAAGTCTTAGCTTAGGCCTCACCTCCCTTAAGAAATCTTTCTGTTCTGTCTCACAATATTACCATCCAACACCTCCTTTCCCCAACCCAGTCAGGTTTCCTTCTTATCCATTGCCACAGTAACCCCTGCAAATCAGTTAATTTATCAGACTTCATAGTAACCCGGACCCCTCACTGTTAAGGGTGAGCCGCAGGGTGTTTGTCTTTTTATTATTGAGTTGTAGGAGTTGTTTATTCTGTGTACAAATACCTTATCAGATATAGGATTTGCAAAAATTTCCTACCATTCTGTGAATTGTCTTTTCAAGTTCCTGTTGTTGTCCCTTGAAGGCAAAAGTTTTTAATTTTGATAATTTCCAATTTATCAATTTTTTCATTTGTTGTCATTCATGCTTTTGGTGTCATATCTAAGAAAACACGGCCAAGGCTACAAGGATTTACTCTTATGATTTCTTCTAAGAGTTTTATAGTTTTAGCTCTTACATTTAGGTCTCTGGTCCATTTTGAGTTAATTTCTGTATATGGCATGAGGTGTGGATTCAGCCCTATTATTTTGCACGTGGATATCCAATTGTCTTAGCACCATTTGTTAAAAAGACTATTCTTTCTCCCACTGAGTGGTCTTGAAATTTCCTTGAAAACTAATTGACCATGGATATATGAGCTTATTTCCAAATTTTCAATTCTGTTCCACTGATCTGTATGTCTATCCTGCACCACACTGCTTTGATTACTGTAACTTTGTAGAAAGTTTTGAAACCAGGTACAGTGAGTTCTCCAACTCGTTTCTTCAAGTTTGTTTTGACTATTCTGGGTCCACTGCATTTCCATATGAATTTTAGAGTCAGCTTATCTATTTCAACAAATAGGCCAGATAGGAGTTTTATAGAAAAACACTGAAACGGTAGATCGATTTGTGGAGTATTCCCATATTAACAATATTAAGTCTTCTGGTCTATGAACATGGGATGTTTTCCTTTTATTTAGGTCTTCTTTAATTTAAACAATGTTTTATACTTTTTGCAGCATAAGTTTTGCACTTCTTTTGTAAAATTTATTCATATTTTCTTTTGATGTTATTGTAAATTGATTTTTATACATTAATCTTGTATCTGCAACCTTACTAGACTCATTCATTCTAACAATTTTAGTGCATTCCCTAGTTTTTGCATACAAGAGCATGTCATCTACAAATACTGATTATTTTACTTTTAATATAAATGTGTTTATTTCATTTTCTTATTTAATTGCCCTGGCTAGAACTTCAAGTACCATCTTGAATAGAATTGAGGAGAGAAGATATCTTATTCCTTATCTTAGTGAAAAACCATTCTTCACTATTAAGTAGAATGTTAGCTCTGACTTTTTCATAGATGCCCGTTATCAGACTGCTAGGAAGTTCCCCTCTATTTCTAGTTTGTTGAGTATGCTGTTGATAATCATGTTTTCCTTTATCTTGATACAATGTATTACATTAATTGATTTTCAGACTTTAAACCAGCTTTACAATCCTAGTTTGATAAATCCCATTTGATCATAGTGTATAATCCCTTCTATTTATTCTAGATTTCATTTGCTAGTGTTTTATGGAGAATATGGGGAGCCCATATTCATAGTTAGTGTATAGTTTTCCTGTGGTATCTTTGTTTAGTTTTGGAATCAGAATTAACACTGGCTTCACAGAATGAGTTGAGATGTATTTCCTCCTCTTCTAATTTTTTAAAGAGTCTGTGAAGAATTTGTATTAATTATTCATTTTTTAAATTGATAAAGAACACACAACATAAAAGTTAACATATTAATGATTTTTAAGCATACAAATCACTAGTGGTAACTATACTCACATTGTTGTGCAACAGATCTCTCAAACATTACATTTTGCAAAACTGAAACTCAATAATCACCAAACAACTCCCCATTTTCCCCACCACCCAGCTCCTGGAAACCATCATTTTATCCTCTGTTTCTTTAAGTTTGACTATTTTAGATCCCTCACATGAGTGGAATCCTACAGTTTGTCTTTTTCTGACTGGCTTACTTCACTTCACATAATACCCTCAAAGAGCATCCATGTTGTAGCATGTAACAAGATTTCCTTCTTTTTTTAAGGTTGAATAACATTCCATTCCATTGTACACATAACAACATACTCTCTTATCTATTCATCCATCAATGGACAATCTAGGTTGCTTCAACCTCTTGGTTAGTGTGAATGATGCTGCAATAAACATAGGTGTACAAATATCTGTTCAAGATAGTGCTTTAAATTCTTTTAGATACATTCCCAGAAGTGGGATTGCTGGATAATGTACTAATCCTATGTGTTATTTCTTGAGAAACCTCCATGCTGTTTTCCATAATGGTTGCACCACTTTACATTCCCATAAACAAGGCACAAAGGTTCCAGTATTTCCACATTCTCACCAACACTTACTTTTTCAGTTTTTTGGATAGTAGCCACCCTAATGGATATGAGATAATATCTCATTGTGGTTTTGATTTGCACTTCTCTAATCTTTTCATATGTTTTGTGGTCCTTTGTATGTCTTCTTCACAGAAATATTCAAGTACTTTGTTTATTTTTAAGTTAGATTATTTGGGTTTTTGGTTGGTGGTGAGTTACAGAAGTTTTTATATATTCTGGATACTACCCCTTATCAGATATATGACTCATAAATATTTTCTCCCATTCTGTAGGTTGCCCTTTCATCTTGTTGATTAGTTCATTTGATATGCTTAAGTTGTTAAGTTTGATGTACTCCCATCTGTCTATTTTCCCCTACGCTTCTGGTGTCATATCCAATAAATTATTACAAAATCAATTGCTATGAAGTTTTCCTCCGTGTTTTCTTCTAGGAGTTTTGTAGTTTCAGATCTTATGTTTAGGTCTTTTATCCATTTTCAGTTAATTTTTTATGTGGTGTAAAGTAAGGGTTCAACTTCATTCTTTTGCATGTGGAAATCCAATTTAACCATTACCATTTGTTGATGAAATCGTCCTTTCCTATTGTGTAGTCTTGGCATCCTTGTCAAAGATCATTTGACCATAATACAAGGGTTCATTTCTGTTTCATTCTGTTTCCTATTCTGTTTCATTTGTCTTTATACTAGTACCACACTGTTTTGTATTACTATAGCTTTGTAATATGTTTTAAAATAAGGAAATGTGAGCTCTCCAACTTTTGCCTTCTTTTTCAATATTATTTTAGCTATTCAGGGTCCCTTGAGATTTCATATAAATTTTAGGATTTTTTTTCTATTTCTGCCCAAAAAATGTCACTGGGATTTTGTTACAAATTGCATGGAATCTGTAGATTGCTTTGAGTAATATGGCCATTTTAATGAAAATAAGTTTTTCAATCCATGAACATGGAATGTCTTTCCATTTATTTGTTCTTTTTTCATTTCTTTCAATAATGTTTTATAGTTTTCAATGCACAAGTCTTTCACCTCCTCAGTTAAGTTTATTCCTAAGTATTTTATCCTTTTTGATGCTATTATAAAGAGCTTTTTAAAATTTCCTTTTCAAATTGTTCATAGTTAATATATACAAATTATTTATGTGTGTTGACTTTGTATCCTGCAATTTTACTGAACTCACTTGTTAGTTCTAACAGTTTTTGAGTGACATCTTTAGGATTTTCTATATATATGATCATGCTGTCTACAAACAGACACAATTTAACTTCTTTCTATCCAGTTTAAATGCCTTTATTTCTTTCTCTTGCCTAATTGCCCTGGCTAGGACCTCTAAGTGGGCATCCTTGCCTTGTTCCTGATTTCGGAGAAAAAGCTTTTAGTCTTTCACCATTGAGTAAAATGTTAGCTGTGGGCTTTTCATATAAGGGCTTTAATATGTTGAAGTTGTTTCTTTATATTTCTAGTTTGTTGAGTGCTTTTATCATGAAAGGGTGTTGAATCTGTCAAGTGCTTTTTCTGTATCAATCGAGATGACCCTGTGGGTTTTGTCCTTCATTCTATTAACGTGGTATATTACACTGATTGACTTTCATACGGTGAAGCATCATTGTGTTCTAGGAATAAATTACACTTGGTCATGTTGTACAATCCTTATCATGTGCTGTTTAATGCTTTTTGCTAACAAAAATCTTTTTGTTAAAGATTTTTGCATCAATAGTCATCAGGGATACTGGTCTCTAGTTTTCTTGAAGTACCTTTGTCTAGCTTTGGTATCAGGACTATACTGGCCTCATAAAATTAGTCTGAAAATGTTCCTGGATCTTCAAATTTTTAGGAATTCAAGGAGGACTGATGTTAATTCTTCTTTACGTGTTTGGTAGACTACTCCAGTGAAGCCATCTGGTCCTGGGTTTTCCTTTAAGATTTTTAAATTATTATTACAACTTTGATCTCCTTACTAGAGGTAAGTCTGTTCAGACTTTTTTTTTATTTCTTCATGATTCATTTTTGATAGGTTCTATGCTTCTAAGAATGTATCTAGGTTTTCTAGATCATCCAGTTTGTTGGTGTATAATTGTCTGTGGTATGTTCTTTTTAATTTCTGTGGCATAAGTTGTAATGTCCCCTCTCTCATTTCTGATTTTAGTTATTTGAGTCATCTCTCTTTTCTTAGTTAATCCAGCTAATGGTCAATCAATATTGTTGTAGTTGTTTCAAAAAACCAGGTCTTGGTTTCATTGGTTTTTCTATTCTTCATTTCACTGAATTTTGCTCTGATCTTTATCATTTCCTTCCTTCTGCTAACTTTGACTTTAGTTCGTTCTTCTTTGTCTAGTTCCTGGAGATGTATAGTTAGGTTGCTGCTTCAAGATTTTCTTTTTTTTAACCTAAGTGTTTACAGCTATAAAATTCCCTCTTAGTACTATTTCACTGCATCTCATAAGTTTGGGGATATTGTGCTTTCATTTTCACTTGTCTCCAGATATTTTCTAAATCCCCTTGTGATTTCTTCTTTGGTCCAAGAATGTGTTGTTTAATTTGTATGTATTCATAATTTTTTCCACTTTTTCTCCTACTATTTATTTCTAGTTTCATTCCATTGCAGTCAGAAAAAAATTATTTGTGTGCTTTCAATTTTTGTAAACGTGTTAAACTTTGTTTTGTGACCTCACAAGTGGTCTATTTTGGAGAATGTTCCATGTGCACTTGAGGAGAATATATATCCTGCCATTGCTGGGTGGAGTATTTGGTATATGTCTGTTAGGTCCAACTGGTTTATAGTGTTGTTCAAATCCTGTTTCCTTCTTTATCTTCTGTCTGATATTTTTATCCACTATTTAAGTAGGGCATTGAAGTCTCCTACTATTAATGTGCAGCTGTCTGTTTCTCCCTGTAATTCTGTCAATGTTTGCTTCATATATTTGAGAACTCTGATGTTATACATAATATTTATATCTTACCAGTGAATTGACCCTTTTATCATCACATAATGTCATTCCTTATCTCTTCTGTCTTTTTTTGTCTCTTTACCTTAATATCTAATTTTTTAAATATAAGTACAACCATCTCTGCTTTCTTTTAGTTACCATTTGCATGGGATATATTTTTCCATCTTTTGACTTTCAGCTTATGCATGTTCTTAGATCAAAAGTGACTGTCTTTTAGACAGTATATGCTTGGATCATGTTTTTTAATCTATTTAGCCAGTTTATATCTTTTGATTGGAGTGTGTAATCCATCTACATTTGAAATAATTACTGAGGTGGAAGGACTTACTAATTCCATTTTGTTGTTTTCTGTGTGTCTTACAGCTATTTTATTCCTCTTTTCCCAAGAAACAGACAGAACATAACAGCAATGTGAAGCCAGCAATTCACTCTTCTCTTTCCCTCACAAGGTAAAAGTCAGCAGTTGGAAGTTTTCTCTGGATCTTGCCACACTGTGTTGGGGAGGGTGCATGGCTAGAGCAAGTAATAATGCCACCTATTTTCCTGCACACTTCAATATGTCTCTTCTTGGCTTTGTGCTACAACCTCTTAACTGGTGTTCTTACAAAGTTGCTGAAGTTCTCACAAAGGCAATTTGGTCCATACATTTTTGTTAAGTGGGTTTCTCTGTGAGGGAATAAGGGCCTGGGTCTTCCTATTCCACCATTTTGCTGACCTTACTTTTTAACTAGTGCCTAAATGTTTGAAAGAATTCACCAGTGAGGCCATCTGGGTCTGGGCTTTCCTTTATGAGTAGTTTGTTTAATTTCTATTTTAATCTTATTTTGATATAAATTTATTTAGATTTCCCATTTCACAAGTTTGTGTCTTTCTAGAATTTGTCTATTTCATCTAAGTCATCCTTTGGCATATAGTTGCTCATAGTATTCACTTATTGTTTTTATTTCTGTAAGGTTGATAGTAATATCCTCCTCTTTCATTTCTCATTTTAGTAATTTGAGACTTCCCTCTTTTTTTATCAGCCTAGCTAACGATTTGTCAATCTTATCAAAGAACCAACTTTTTATTTCACCTATTTTCTCCATTGTTTAAATTTGCTATTTCATTAATTTCTCTCTAATCCTTATTGTTTTCTCTTTGCCTGCTTTGTTTGATCTTCTTTTTCCAGTGTATTACGATAGCTGCTTAGGTTACTGCTTTGAGCTCTTTCTTCTTTTTTTAACATATGTGTTCACAACTATATATTTCCCTTTAAACAATGCTTTTACTGTATCTCATAAGTCTGGGTATATTTTGTCTTCATTCTCATTTATCTCAAAGTAAATTCTCATTTCCCTTGTGATTTCTTCTTTGACCCACTGATTAGAAGTGTGTTAATTTCCATATACTTGTGAATTTCCCAAATTTGTTTGTCAATATTTTTTTAATTTCCATCCATTATGATCAGAGAACATACTTTGCATGATTTCAGTCTTCTTAAATTCACTGAGGCTTGTTATATGGCCTAGCATATGGTCTGTCTTAGAGAATATTCCATGTGCATTGGAGGAGAATGTGTATTATGTTGCTGTTAAGTGTACTGCTAATTGAATATTTTCTTAGTATAACATTTTAATTCCTTTAAATGATTTTTCCACTATATTTTTAAATTATTTTCTTAGTGGTTGCTCTAGTGCTTCCAGTATACATTTTAACTTACCAGAATTTACTTCAGATTTATATTAAATTAGCTCTAGTGAAATATAGAAATATTACTCCTATATAAGTCTATTCCCTCTTTCCCCCTTTGTGCAATTATTGTTATACATATTATCTCTATATATGTTACAAACTGAATGATATATACGTTCTCATTCTTTTGCTTTTAAAACAAGAATTGCAATTAAATAGGAACAGCCTTTGGGGAGGAGTATTTTTCAAGTTAATCAGAGCTTCAAAATGAAGACTGACCACCCAAATTCACAACTTTCCAAACTTCCATTTCAGGAAAACTCATGGACAGGAATATGATCTCTAATATCCAGACATGATGCACTCTGGTTCCTTGGCTTTATCTGAGCTTAAGTCCACGTGTTCCCCTGCATCTTGCCCCCACAAAAGTGCATTCTGCTAGTTCTACAGAAGAAAGTACTAAAACAGAGAAATCGCAAAAGATGTCCTATGAAAGGCAGTAAGTGTCACCTCTTTGACAGAAGGATCCTTGAGAGCAAAACACATTATCCCATTCATCTCTAACCAAATAGAAAGAAGGTAATGGCCACAGAACAACAACAACCAAAAAAAAAAGAGAGAGCAAAAGAGAATATTCATAATTTCATTCCCAAAACAAACTCTCCTGAAATCTGTTCTTAGTTGTAAGCTCCCTTCCTCTGGCGCTCTCCTTACCCGAAACGGGGTGTTGATTCGACTCGTGAGAGTGTCTAGGATGTGGACATTCTCGTGCTGGTGCAATAGGATAAAACGGAGGAAGATCTCAAGTAGTGCTGGCTCAGAGATGCTACGCAGGAAAAGGTCCAGATATGCAGTTGTGGTCATGACCTCCTCCACAGTCACCTAGAACCAACAACAGAGTGAGTGCAGGTGAGCATCCTCTTGATGCTGTGATACACGCCTCTCCCGTGGCCCCAGCCTCACCACAGTGACCCCATCAAGGCAAGAACACGACTGCCCACGAAAACACACTTCAGAGCTTTATTGAAACCCATAACCTATTCACATTCCACAATACCTCATGCTGTTTCCACCCTTTAATTCAATAAGGAAAAAGAAAGGCATAAAGAATCAATTCAAGTGTTCTGACAATTCTAATCATCAAATGCAGTTCAAATACCATAAAGATTTTAGAGTATAATCAGAAATGAAGAAAAAAGATAATGGAAAGTATTTACATGGATTGTAAAGGATTAATTAGAAAGCTTGGAGTAACTTGTTTCATTATTAGTCATTCAATAAACATTTATTGGGACCTATTATGTACAAGCAGCTGAAAACATAAGAACACTCTTTATGTCCAGGAAGATGAGCTATAACAAGCAAAATGATAAAATAAATTGCAAAGGAGCAGTACAGACACAAAGTACTACAGATGTTCAGATGTGTTTCTGGAGAGATGGAAGTCAAATTTTTTATAACTGAATAATACACATAAAATGTTATTTATAAAGTACTATAAGAACTCACTGCTTATAAAGTAACTGTGACTTTTTTATAATACAAATTAATATTTGCTACCTAGTGTAATTTTCTCATGTAGTAAAATGTCAATTTTTCAGTGAATAAGACTCTGAAGAGCCAAGTTTTTCAAGAAGCTGAGGATTTGATGCTTCAAGTATCAAAATTCTAACCGTAAACATTTTTTATTAGGAGTATTTTAAGAGCTAGCATATACATCTTTGTCCTCCTAAGATGAGAATATACCATCTCTTGATGAATATAGGTCATTCCCAGGGTCATCAACTGCCCCGCAGAAGCATAAAGAAACAGCCACACCTGAAACCATGAAAATCACCAGAGAAATAGTTCAAACTTTCAGATTCTAATACCACACACCCTAGAAATCTTAGCAATCCCTCCACCATGAGTCAAATGCACTCGATTCTAAACAAAACAGATGGCAATACAATTTGAGTGATTTTTATTTTCCCTTTTCCATTTTTTAAAATCTTCTTTCTTTCTCTTCCTTTAAAAGCGTTAGTTGTCACATTATCTTACGGTTACTGGGCCATTCCTTTTATATTCCATTCCTCTTCCCCTTTTAATTTTCAGCTTTCAAAATCCACAGATTAGTTTAGAAACCAGATGTCCAGATCTGCTACATAAGTGTAGATGAGCCCTGAGTGGATGCATCTGTGCATAAAGGCTTGGAGCTATCTATTTTGGCTGCTTAAATTACTTTTAAAAAGTTCTGGTGCTCAGCTATCTTCTGGATAGATGAGCCCAGGTGGATAAAATATTACCAAGTCAGTGTGTCTGTTTTCTTTATCCTAAGCAAGGCATGCTTATCCAGTGCATTAGAATCTAATGAGAAGTCATTCCACAGTGGTCTGAGTACATATCGTAGCGCAAATTCCCTTCCCCCAGCTTGGTGCCAACAATGCAAGCTCTCAGACATTCAATACACTACTATGTCATCTGACCAACTGTAAAGAGCTCTCTGTGGCCCAAATATAGCAATAGAAACAGGTAACCATCAACCATTTAACAAATAAATCGCACTGGGAAGAGTGCTTTTCATGGTCTGCCCCTGAGTCTGAAACAAACTACTTCCGTCTTTGTGTTTCCTGATGTTTTCTAGTCCCATGTATGGAGCACTCCTAATGCTGTCCTGGGATGCACACTGTGTCTTTTCCTTTATTACCCCAATGCAATGTACAAAGCCTGGCACACAGAACATACTTCTTCCTGAGTGAATGACAGCCCCAAAGATCTAGTGATTTATATTTGCCAGAGTTTAGTTTAACTTTTGATTATTCTTTATCCTCTACATGTGTCCTGAAGGCCACAGAGAGTAAAGACATTTTTTATAAAGATCTCTGTAATAACTGATGTCACCAATCATGGCTAAGGGGGAAATGACTCACAACAACCCTACATTAGCTCACATCCACTTCACTACTGCAAACTTGGGATCCTTTAGCAGAAACTTAATCCTAAATGATTTAGGTGAAAATCTAATTCCCCAACAACATTGATCACTAGAAAAAAGTTGCATAATCATTCCAAACAGGCTATGTATGTAGTTTCTGTAATACAGTATTTTCAACTTATCTATGGAACACTGCTGAACTGACGTGTCATACAGAATTCCAGCCTTTGTACCAATAATGTAGCATCAGCTTTTCCCCTCTTAAGTTACATATGACCTTAGTAAGCTCGAAAGCACAGCAATCAACTCCTTAAACTATAGTCTCAGTCTCTGTGGCCTAATGTGAAAGGAGGGCATTAAGTATCTATTGTTTACTACTGTTAGGCTGGATAAATGAAAAGATTTCACTTCTTTTTAGAAATCAAAGCTGTCATTTATAAGCTAAGAGGATTTAAGAAGCACTTGGAGGGACAATATTTATATAACATGCTATAAATATTAAAACCCCAAGTCCATTAAGCATTAAGTTGCATATTTTTATGAACTGAGATCATACTCACATTAAACTAATACCCAAATCAGGAAAATCTGGCTCCCTTCTCCTTCCATCTTTTCCTTCCACCATATCCTCAGAGCCTTTAGGAGTTTTTTATACCAGGAAATCTTTTCCTGTCCCATTATCTTACTTTCAGAAACTTCCTCTAATCCCCCCAAATAGGCAACCTCCTTAACGAGGATGAGACCAGAGACTAAGTGTGATCACTGGAAAGCTAACAATAAACCACAAGGGAAAAGATGCTCTGCTGTGCAGAATGTAAAACAAAATCTTCTGCTAATGCCCCAAAGAAGTGTTAGCAAGACTGGAAAGTAGCGTCTTCTTCATGCACCCATTATGAAGGACAATCCGCTGTTAATATAAGTAAGATCTCTGTCTTAGAGATGACTATCAATATTTATTTAACTTGTTCTATAAAGAATTGCAGGTAGCTACGAATTTACATAGAAATACTAACAGAAACAGTAAATGACGTTCTACCTTACTGCCATATCATACACAATAATAAAGTTTAGGGATACTAAAGCTTAAGAATGTAATTTCATACTAAAGGTGGGCCACAATGACTGAAATCACCTAAAGAAAACTCAGTGTCCACAAACGAATAATTATCCTTGACAAGATAAGAACAGTTGTTACTCTAAAGAAGGTATCTGCTTAGGTGCTATTATGTGATTACTTTTCAACCCAAGTTCCAGAATAGAGGCCTGACTCAGGTACTTGACTTCACTGCTATTGAGTCCCGTTTAGTCCATCCTTGGAAATAAATCTTTTTTTGCCCGTCTTCTGTACATTCCTATAGCCCTTGTCTGGGTCCTTCTTCATGCCAAGAATCTTTACCAATCCCTCAAGCCGGTGTTTTTGAAACTACAGTTTGAGATCAAGAGTGGGTAGTTAATTCAGTTTATTAGTTCATTAATGGTTTAGACCAGATTCCAATAGAAAACATTAGAGTACCCTGCACGTAGTAAGGGCAAGTACTGTTTTGTCAAACTTGTGTATACATATTTTGTTGAAAATATACATAATGCAATATATTAAATATATGGGCTTTGCTTGCAAATTCAGTGAATATACATATATATGCAAGCATGCAAAATATTATTTCTGACTGTGAGCTGCAGCCAAAAACATCTAAAAAACACCACAAGAGCACAGTTAACCATCATCTACGCCATGCTTTCACCCACCAGTTCTCATCACCAGTTTCCTATGCTCCAGGCTATAACCCAGCGTGGTCTGGCCTGGAAGAAGTGCACACATAGGTGAGATCAGTTTTCTGAACAGGATGGCAACTGAATTTACAATCAATCTACTCTTTTTTGTCTTAGGCTAAGAGCTCCAAAAGTGTGTTTTTATTTTTTATTAGAATTTCAAGCTTCTCAGAAATAGGCAAAATGGACAGTGTGTTTTCTTTTAAAAAGGAGGTGGGTGGGAAGGGAGGAGGTGACACCACGCATCACATTCTACTTCTATAAAACCAAAGCTCTCTAAAAAGAATTAAAGCCAGAACCAAAGCCAGTTATCATGCCCACAACTGCAGCAGCACATTAACTTATTGCACAGCATAGGAGTGAAATTGAGCATATAGACATTCTGACCTTTCTGTAATCAGCTCTAGTTGGGCCATTCCATTTGCATCTAAATTAGCACCAGAATCCTCCCTGTAATGGCAGGTTTATGTGTGTCCTGAAAAATACATTTCCAACCTGCTAATTGTTTTTTTGTGATCTAGTCACATTGGAACAAACAGATGGATCCTACCTTCTGTCACTCAGGCAGGTGGCAGGCAGTGGGGTCAGGTGACTGTGGCACCCTCTCCAAGTTAGAAGCCACCCTTCCTTGGCTTTTCTTTTGATAACAGAGGAAAAAACTAGCTAACTATTGGTTCACCTGGGTCATCAGTGAGTCATCGGCCCCAGTGGGTCCAACCAGAGTGAAGCTCCCACTGAAATCAGCAGAGGGGAAAAGAATGACAAGGCTGGATCACACAAAACAGGAGTGAAAGGGTCTTAACAGGGAACACAGGCTACGAGCCCACCCGCCGCTGCCAGACAGAGCCAAGCCAACGGACAGGCGGGAGGCACATCCACCCACCTGCAGCCAAGGGCAGCAGCTGGATGGACTCCTTGCAGCCATCTTCTCCCCTCCAAGGACATGAAGCGCTAAGAAGAACATTCAAGTACAGAAGGGAGGACAGACGCCCTGGTTCTCAGCAAGCAGCTCTACTGTTTCAGCCAAAAATTCAGGACAGAAAATGTTCAATGACTCCAGATCTGAAAATAGTCTGCAGTTGATGATTCTGGCTCCCTCCCGTCGGCTCCCCTATGCCTCCCTTCTGCTCCCCGACCTCTAGGCCACACGCTATACTGCTAGCACCGCCAGAGGCCAGCTGGGGAGGTGAATGGAGGT